ATTCGTCGCAGCGATAAGGCTTTTAAACCCCCAGCCAAGCACACAAAGGTTGGCAGTAGCATAGGAAGTGGTCCCTACAGTGTAGAGAAATAAAGAAACTGGCCAGTGCTCGGCTCAAACTAGACCAAACCCTCATTCTTATTGCACTTCCTGTTCCAAGACAAGAGAGATAGGATCACGCAGCGGTCATGCCTAGATGGGATACAACTTTTGTCAAATTGACGTCAAAAGCATTTTTAGCTAACCTAATTCACCTAACCTTAACCTAATTCCCCAAACCTAATACCCCAAACCTAATTCCCCTAACCTGCTGCGTCAGTTCTCGTAAACCTGCTGCAAAAAGTCAATTTTGACAAAAGCTGTATTCCTTCTAGACAAAACCTCACGCGGCTCGACAGGCAGCATTGTGACAACATATTTGGAGAGAGAGAGAGAGAGAAAGATAGAGTGGGGACAGTATGGAAGAGAGAGAGGGGTTGTCTAAGGACAGAGAGAAGGAGAGAGAATAGAGTGGATGGATAGCAGGATGGGATCACAACACATCTATAAAACGAGATGATCAGGGAAAACCCCACAATAAACAGAGGAATATGAAAAAGATGTGACTTGGTCCTGCAGGGCCATATGAATGGGATGCATCTCAAATGGTACCCTATCCACTACTGGCTCTGGTCAAAAGTAGTGCACTATATAGGGAATAGGGTGCCATTTGAGACTCAGACAGAAGGAGATGGTTATGTGATAATCTGATCATAAACACAACGCTTCCCATGAGCTCATCCACACACACACCCACAGCCTCTCTGTCTGTCTATATAGAATTCATCCCGTTTGATTCTCGAGCCCAAAAAATATTTCCTGAATCAGCGAAAGAGAGAAGAGATTAAACTGTTCAGACCAAGTCCCAGAGTCCTATTTAAACCAACTTCAAACTTGGAAAGGCAATGTAGTTTATGTACAATTCTCAGAAACATGTGAGAGAGCCCCACATTGGCAACTTCCCACCTCTGTAAAATATTCCCACACCTAAGGACACACGCGTCTTCTGATGAGTAGGTGTTTGAGGAATGTGTGAATTTGAGCAGGTCTGTAACCTGATCACCATGTGAAGTCTCTTTTGGATCTGTTTAGCTCTCTAACATCCTGTAGCTAAAAGCATTCTGTTCAAATAACCTGACTGTGTGTGGGGTCACCCTTTTCCCACGCGTGTCGCACATCGAAGTGATGAACAACCAGGTTGTCATGGTAACGTGGGGGCTATTTTAGGAGGAATTCTACACGCTGATGTTTCCCTTTTGTGTTCTAGCTTTACCTCAGCAACGTGCACTGCACACACACACACAGTTTACTTGTAAAAGATACCTTAAAAAAAGAAACATATTTCTAACAAGCACAGTGTGTGTGTGTGTACATCTGTATCTAACAAGCACAGACAAGACAACATTGAGGACAGAGACTCAAGGACTCTCAGTTTTAACCAGCTGACATTGATCCTATAGAGATCCTATTGTGTCTGAAATGGAACCCTATTCCCTACACAGTGCACTACTGCATCAGTAACAGTTCAGTCAGCACTTCCCCACCTCTCTCCACCTCACCTCTCTCCACCTCAACCTCTCTCCACCTCTCTCCACCTCACCTCTCTCCACCTCACTTCTCTCCACCTCACTTCTCTCCACCTCTCTCCACCTCTCTCCACCTCTCTCCACCTCTCTCCACCTCTCTCCACCTCTCCTCACTCCACCTCTCAACTGTCCTGCTCTTATTTTCTCTAGATCTCAGTGGTTTAGGTGCAACATTATATTTTCCATCATGATTCTGAAATTCTCTCCTCTTTTCATCACTCCATCTCTCCTCCTCCTCCTCCTCCTCCTCCTCCTCCTCCTCCTCCTCCTCCTCCTCCCTCCTCCTCCCTCCTCTCTCTGTCCAGCTATAGTACTGGTTGCAGTGCAGGAGAGAGCTCTGTGTCTGTATCAGTACAGCATGTATTTTACATTTGAGTCATTTAGCAGATGCTCTTATCCAGAGCAACTTACAGGAGCAATTAGGATTAAGTGCCTTGCTCAAGGGCATCTCAATAGACATTTCACCTAGTCAGCTCGGGGATTCAAACCAGCGACCTTTCAGTTACTGGCCCAACACTCTTAAACCACTAGGATTCCTGCCGCTCCATGATTTTCTCTCCTATTTTTCCATCCTCATTGTAGAAATGTGTCCATAGTACTGTATCCACCACCCCTCTTCTTTAGGTGAGTCCTATTGAGAAAGCAAGACAGTGTCCTCTCTCCTATGGGCTGGTGTCCTCCTCCCATAAAGGATGGAAGGAGAGATGGAGGTAGGGAGAGATGGAGGTAGGGAGAGATGGAGGTAGGGAGAGATGGAGGTAGGGAGAGATGGATGGAAACAGGGAGGAGAGGAGCTCAGTTGAAGAGGATGGTCTTCATTTGCCAGTCCCATAGAGGAGTGGAGAGATGGAGAGGGAGGGAGGGAGGAGAGGAGCTCAGTTGAAGAGGATAGAGTCCGGGTCTCTGTTAGCCATCTGAGCCATGTGCTTCAGAATGTCTTTCTTAGTGATGATGCCCAACAACCTCCTGAGAGAGGGGGAAGAGAGAGTTTACCATTAGAAATTAACAATGACAACAATGTTTACAGTTTCCTGCCAATACAGCATTCTTCCATTTAGAATCGAGAGAATAGAGAGAGCGAGAGAGAGAGAGAGAGAGAGAGAGAGAGAGAGAGAGAGAGAGAGAGAGGGTTTACAATTGCACAAAAGGGAGAAATGTTCAGGAAAGAAGGGAAAGTTGTATCCAATTTAAAGGTCTGGTTTTGTGTTCAAATCAAGAAGATCCATCATACCAGACAACCACACAACAAACACTGACATCACCAGGGAAGGTCTCTGGCTTGAAATATATATGTGTGTGTGGTGTGGTGTGGTGTGTGTTGAAGATGTTCTATGTTCTGTTGACAGACTCCACCCTCTCCTCTAATCTGACCAGATGTTGTATGAGATGGAGGGAGGAGAGGAGAGGGATATGTATGAGGGTTTGTGGTGGAGTGATGCACGCAAATTGGAAGAGCTCTCTGGAAATTAAGATGTCTTCACACACACACGGACACACAGGGTAGGGTGTTCACCCATAAAATTATTATTTCATTCAATAGAGAATTGCATTTTTTTCATTTTTTTTTTACAAATCGTCCAAACCTTATGTCTCCACTATATATGGTTGACAAGTTCCAGACTATTTAGTTGAATGATTAGAGTGAATGTCATTACGGTCATTAAGTGATTGCTGCTCAAAAGAACTCTGACTAACGTCAACTGACATGCTAGCTAATGGCAGCAGGTTGCTGTGTGATAACATGGGCTTTTTCTAAATTAAATCCACGGAATACAAAACTAAATTAATTTACAAAGCTAACAGACTGAATTTCAATATCTACCCTCCCCGAAGACAAATCTGTTCCAGTTTCCATGGTGTATTTCTGAGTCTTTCCCTTTAAAAATGGCCATAGAAATGGCCCCTCACCGTTGATTGACCGGGGTTGGAGGAATAGAGAGCCATGGATCTGATGATGAAAATGACGAGGGTATCAAGTGGATTTAGAGTGTTCCAAACCGTGGAAACACCTACAAATGTTACGACCGAACGCCGAAAAATTGAAGAGATCGAACCAAGAGCTAGGTGGTTTAAACTAGCAACGGTCACAAAAAACTAACATTCTTATTTAATCAACACTGTCAAGTACAATAATATTAAGGTTATTATATTGTAGAGAACAATCTAATGATTAGTTGAATGTGATTCATAATGACATAGGCTAAAGAAAACTAGGTTTACACATTCCTTTAGTAGCATCCTCTTGAATTCACCCGTATTTCACTAGATTCTAGAGCAGTGAGTGAACGCCCTACACAGGGACACAATTTTGCCTGTTCTATTCCCTGACTGTATGAGAGACACAGACAAACAGACAATAGTATTTACATGAGGTAAGGACAAAGAGACTCATTCTACTCAGTTTATCTGAGGTTCTGAGAGAACCATACTTTCCTTTCCCCTGAACCCCTCCCCGTCGTCTATTCCTCAACCCCCCTCCTACCCTGTCGTCTATTCCTCAACCCCCTCTCCTACCCTGTCGTCTATTCCTCAACCCCTCTCCTACCCTGTCGTCTATTCCTGAACCCCCCCCCTACCCTGTCGTCTATTCCTCAACCCCTCTCCTACCCTGTCGTCTATTCCTAACCCCTCCCCTACCCTGTCGTCTATTCCTCAACCCCTCCCTACCCTGTCGTCTATTCCTAACCCCTCCCCTACCCTGTCGTCTATTCCTGAACCCTCCCCTACCCTGTCGTCTATTCCTCAACCCCTCCTCCTACCCTGTCGTCTTTCCTCAACCCCCCTCCTCCTACCCTGTCGTCTATTCCTCAACCCCTCTCCTACCCTGTCGTCTATTCCTGAACCCCTCCCCTACCCTGTCGTCTATTCCTCAACCCCCTCTCCTACCCTGTCGTCTATTCCTGAACCCCTCCCCTACCCTGTCGTCTATTCCTCAACCCCTCTCCTACCCTGTCGTCTATTCCTCAACCCCTTCCCTACCCTGTCGTCTATTCCTCAACCCCTCTCCTACCCTGTCGTCTATTCCTAACCCCTCCCTAACCCTGTCGTCTATTCCTCAACCCCTCTCCTACCCTGTCGTCTATTCCTTCAACCCCCCCTCTCCTACCCTGTCGTCTATTCCTCAACCCCTCTCCCTACCCTGTCGTCTATTCCTCAAACCCCCCCTCTCCTACCCTGTCGTCGTCTATTCCTCAACCCCTCCCCTACCCTGTCGTCTATTCCTCAACCCCTCTCCTACCCTGTCGTCTATTCCTCAACCCCCTCTCCTACCCTGTCGTCTATTCCTCAACCCCTCTCCTACCCTGTCGTCTATTCCTCAACCCCTCTCCTACCCTGTCGTCTATTCCTGAACCCCTCCCCTACCCTGTCGTCTATTCCTCAACCCCTCCCCTACCCTGTCGTCTATTCCTCAACCCCTCCCTACCCTGTCGTCTATTCCTGAACCCCTCCCCTACCCTGTCGTCTATTCCTAACCCCCCCCTCCCTAACCCACCCTGTCGTCTATTCCTCAACCCCTCCCCTACCCTGTCGTCTATTCCTGAACCCCTCCCCTACCCTGTCGTCTATTCCTCAACCCCTCTCCTACCCTGTCGTCTATTCCTGAACCCCTCCCCTACCCTGTCGTCTATTCCTGAACCCCTCCCCTACCCTGTCGTCTATTCCTGAACCCCTCCCCTACCCTGTCGTCTATTCCTCAACCCCTCCCCTACCCTGTCGTCTATTCCTGAACCCCTCCCCTACCCTGTCGTCTTTTCCTCAACCCCCTCTCCTACCCTGTCGTCTTTTCCTCAACCCCTCTCCCTACCCTGTCGTCTATTCCTCAACCCCCTCCCCTACCCTGTCGTCTTTTCCTCAACCCCTCCCCTACCCTGTCGTCTATTCCTCAACCCCTCCCCTACCCTGTCGTCTTTTCCTCAACCCCTCTCCTACCCTGTCGTCTATTCCTGAACCCCTCCCCTACCCTGTCGTCTATTCCTCAACCCCCTCTCCTACCCTGTCGTCTATTCCTCAACCCCTCAAAACCATCCAGACCCTATGTACGCAATTTGGTACTTTGGGCAATAGCTTCAACTTGCCCCAAATCCTCTCAGATCTCCACAGATGCAAAGGGCCTAGGCTCTAGGGGTGGATTTAGAATCAGGCTATACAGCAGCCACTATTTTCCTGCTCACCCGTTGTGTGTAACCAGACACTGTCTGAGCCCCAGCTTCCTGAAGATGTCCACAGCTATCGCCATGGGGGTGTGGTCTGTCACAGTGAACGGACTAAGGTCCAGGATACCTACAGAATAGAACATAATAAAATATAAAACATAACGTCATAGATAACGTACCATCTCTGTGCGTCTGTCTACTCATACCTCTTAGTTTGACGACAGGGGGGCCAGAGAAGGGCTGTTGGGTCACGTGTTCCAAGAAGAACACTAACGAGGCACTGACCACCCCCTCCTGTCGCTTACGGGCGTTGTCTAGTGGGGGAGAAGAGGGAGGGAGGGAAGTAGAAAACAGGGGAGGAGTTAGTCATAGCTGCACTGAGTGTACAAAACATTATGAACACCTGCTCTTTCCATGACATAGACTGACCAGGTGAATCCAGATGAAATCTATGATCCCTTATTGATGTCACTTGTTAAATCCACTTCAAATCAGTGTAGATGAAGGGGAGGAGACAGGTTAAAGAAGGATTTTCAAGCCTTGAGACAATTGAGACATGGATTGCGTATGTGTGCCATTGATAGCAGGTGCCAGGCTCACCGGTTTGAGTGTGTCAAGAACTGCAACGCTGCTATTTTTCACGCTAAACAGTATCCATTGTGTATCAAGAATGGTCAACCACCCAAAGGACATCCAGCCAACTTGACACATCTGTGGGAAGCATTGGAGTCAACATGGGCCAGCATCCCTGTGGAACGCTTTCGACACCTTGTAGAGTCCATGCCCTGACGAATTGAGGCTGATCTCAATATTAGGAAGGTGTTCTTAATGTTTTGTACACACACAGTGATACGCAAACACACACAGACTTGTAATTTGTAATGGCCCTCAGACACACATACCTGAAGATTACACAATAACAGACACACGTTAGCAAATACAGGTCAGACACACACAGTCTAACATTGCCTCACACCTTATTGTCAAGCATGTCCATTGGCAAACACACACACCCTGTGGCACTGATTGGCAAACACAATATGCAAAGAGAGAGAGAGACAGAGAGAGACAGACAGAGAGAGAGAGACAGAGAGACTGACAGAGAGAGACTGACAGAGAGAGACTGACAGTATCCATTGTGTATCAAGAATGGTCCACCACCCAAAGGACATCCATCAAACTTGACACAACTGTGGGAAGCAATGGAGTCAACATGGGCCATCATCCCTGTGGAACGCTTTCGACACCTTGTAGAGTCCATGCCCCGACGAATTGATCTCAATATTAGGAAGGTGTTCTTAATGTTTTGTACACACACAGTGATACGCAAACACACACAGACTTGTAATTTGTAATGGGCCTCAGACACACATACCTGAAGATTACACAATAACAGACACACGTTAGCAAATACAGGTCAGACGCACACAGTCTAACATTGCCTCACACCTTATTGTCAAGCATGTCCATTGGCAAACACACACACCCTGTGGCACTGATTGGCAAACACACTATGCAAAGAGAGAGAGAGAGAGAGAGAGAGAGAGAGAGAGAGAGAGAGAGAGAGAGAGAGAGAGAGAGAGAGAGAAAGAGAAAGAGAAAGAGAGAGAGACAGAGAGAGTCACAGACAGACAGAGAGAGAGAGTGAGAGACAGACAGACAGAGAGACAGAGAGACAGAGAGAGACAGACAGAGACAGAGAGAGACAGAGAGACAGACAGACAGAGAGAGAGAGAAGAGAGAGAGACAGACAGAGACAGACAGAGAGAGAGACAGAGAGAGAGAGACAGAGAGAGGTAAGAGACGAGAGAGAGAGAGTAGAGTATAAGAGATAGAGGAGAGATTAGAGATTAGATAGAAGATAGAAGAGATAAGAGACGAGAAGAGAGATACAGACATACAGAGAGACGAGATAGAGAGACGAATAATAGAGATAGAATAAGACACATACAGAAAACAGAGATACACAGACAGACAAGAGAGAGAAGAAGACAGAGAGAGAGACAGACAGAGAGAGAGAGAGACAGAGAGAGAGAGTCCCAGACAGACAGAGAGAGAGAGTGAGAGACAGACAGACAGAGAGAGAGACACATACAGAGACAGAGAGACACAGACAGACAGAAGAGAGAGAAAAGGAGAGAAGAGAGAGAAAACAGACAGAAAGAGAGACAGAGAGTAGACAGAGAGAGAGAGCAGAGAGAGACGAGAAGAGTAACAGAGAGAGACAACAGAGAGATGAGAAGAAGTCACAACAGACCGAAGGAGTGAGACGATCCACGAGATAAGACAGAGATTGACCACATAGACAGAGACGCCAGGAATTATAGAGACAGAGAGACAGAGAGAAAGATAGCAGAGAAGAGAGAGACAGAGCAGAAGAGAGACCAGAGATTCCAACAGACAGACAGAGATACTCACCTTGAGATATGACCAGGTCCCTCCTCAGTACGAAGCCCACTAGTCTCTGAGACTCCTGTGACACCACTACAGGGAAGCCACTGTAGTCAGTGTCTGCTATCACCCCCTCTATCTCCCCTACACTCATCCCCTCCTGAGTGAGCACGACCAGGAGAGGTTCCGACTGCCTAGGATGCATCACGTCCTGAGCCAGGGTCTGAGAGGAGTTAAGATAGGATAAGTGGAACCTCAAAGCTCTATATAGGCAAAAATAAAAACAATAAAAATGCAACATTTTCAACATGAAGCAATTTTACTTTGTTTCGATGAGAATTAGCAGCAAGAATCTTGTCTGTTATTCATGCTTCCTGACAAATAAATGAATAAAAATATGCACCTTGTGTCCATACTCCTCTTTGGTCTCAAGGAAGGGGTAACCGTTGAGTCTAATGTGGGCTTCGTAGATCCCCTCCCGCCCCAATGCGTCCGCTACCCACTTCGAGGTCATGATCGCGGCCATCAGAGGAACGATGTACTCCAGACCGCCCGTCAGCTCAAACATGATGACCACCAGAGATATGGTCATACGCGTCACACCACCTGGAGAGAGGGAGACGGTGAGGGAGAGAGCATGAAAGAGGGAGAGAGAATGAAAGAGGGAGAGAGGGAGACGGTGAGGGAGAGAGAATGAAAGAGGGAGAGAGGGAGACGGTGAGGGAGAGAGAATGAAAGAGGGAGACGGTGAGGGAGAGAGGGAGACGGTGAGGGAGAGAGAATGAAAGAGGGAGACGGTGAGGGAGAGAGAATGAAAGAGGGAGACGGTGAGGGAGAGAGGGAGACGGTGAGGGAGAGAGAGAATGAAAGAGGGAGACGGTGAGGGAGAGAGAATGAAAGAGGGAGAGAGGGATGGGACATAATTAATTAAACCATTCACATTTATCTTAGGGTTGATAGGACAAGTTGCTAAAAAGACACTTCTTCTGACTACTACATACTAAAAAGGAACACTAAAGAAAAGGTGTGATTTGAACCACTAAGATAAACCCTTCCATAACATTACCCTGGACCATTAGCCCAAACCTTAATCAAGAACAAGACCATGCTGCCAAAACACATCAGTTTAAAAATCTTTGTTCCATTGAACATGCCATAAAAATAAAAGGCATTTTAATTATATGAAGAGTGCCTTGGTCCTACTTGTTTTTTTAAATGAAATATATAAAGTACTTTTCAAATCATCAGGTCTAACCCCAGACTCACCCAGACATAAAGCAACCCCACCATAGCATATAGCCCTGGGGTGATACAATCCACCCCTGGAGAGCAACATCCTCTTACACTATCCTTACACCTATACCTAACCCCTATCCCTAACCCCTACACGGGGGCCCCTCAGGGGTGCGTGCTCAGTCCCCTCCTGTACTCTCTGTTCACCCATGACTGCATGGCCAGGCACGACTCCAACACCATCATTAAGTTTGCCGACGACACAACAGTGGTAGGCCTGATCACCGACAACGATGAGACAGCCTATAGGGAGGAGGTCAGAGATCTGGCCGTGTGGTGCCAGGACAACAACCTCTCCCTCAACGTGACCAAGACAAAGGAGATGATTGTGGACTACAGGAAAAAAAAGAGGACTGAGCACGCCCCCATTCTCATCGACGGGGCTGTAGTGGAACAGGTTGAGAGCTTCAAGTTCCTTGGTGTCCACATCACCAACGAACTATCATGGTCCAAACACACCAAGACAGTCGTGAAGAGGGCACGACAAAGCCTATTCCCCCCTCAGGAGACTAAAAAGATTTGGCATGGGTCCTCAGATCCTCAAAAAATTCTACAGCTGCACCATCGAGAGCATCCTGACTGGTTGCATCACCGCCTGGTATGGCAACTGCTTGGCCTCTGACCGCAAGGCACTACAGAGGGTAGTGCGTACGGCCCAGTACATCACTGGGGCAAAGCTCCCTGCCATCCAGGACCTCTATACCAGGCGGTGTCAGAGGAAGGCCCTCAAAATTGTCAAAGACTCCAGCCACCCTAGTCATAGACTGTTCTCTCTGCTACCGCACGGCAAGCGGTACCGGAGTGCCAAGTCTAGGTCCAAAAGACTTCTCAACAGCTTCTACCCCCAAGCCATAAGACTCCTGAACAGCTAATCATGGCTACCCGGACTATTTGCACTGCCCCCCCACCCCATCCTTTTTACGCTGCTGCTACTCTGTTAAGTATTTATGCATAGTCACTTTAACTCTACCCACATGTACATATTACCTCAACTACCTCAACTAGCCGGTGCCCCCGCACATTGACTATGCAACGGTACCCCCCTGTATATATAGCCTCCCTACTGTCACTTTATTTTACTGTATATATAGCCTCCCTACTGTCACTTTATTTACTTCTGCTCTTTTTTTCTCAACACTTTTTTGTTGTTGTTTTTATTCTTACTTTTTGTTTTAAAATAAATGCACTGTTGGTTAAGGGCTGTAAGTAAGCATTTCACTGTAATGTCTGCACCTGTTTGTATTCGGCGCAATGTGACCAATAAAATTTGATTTGATTTGATTTGATATACCTATCCCCTATACCTATACCTAACCCCTATCCCCTATCCCTAACCCCTAACCCCTATCCCTAACCCCTATCCCCCTAACACCCTATCCCTACCCCCAAAACCTTACCTAACCTAACCCTAACCCCTATCCCTACCCCCTTAACCCCATAACCCCCCGATCCTATCCCCATAACGACCCTACCCTCTATCCCTAAACGCCTATACCCTAACGCCTATCCCCTAACACCTAGACCCTATCCCCCTATACCCCTCTAACCCCCTATCCCTCCTAACACTGTTTGTCCCCTACCCATCATTGGTGACCCTAGTGACCTCCTCACCCAGAACCTAAAGCAACCCCATCATAGGCATATAGCCCTGGGGTGATACAATCACACCCTGGAGAGCAACCATCCTCTTACACTATCTTACCCAAAACGAACCCCCGACCCGAACCCCGAGAGAGGAGCCCGGGCCCCACCCCAACCCCAAACCAACCCCAGACCACCAACCCCCCCCCCAAAACCCACAACCCCCAAACCCCCCCGACCCAACCCCCAAACCCCAGACCAACCCCACCCCAACCCACCCAACCCCCCCAACCCAACCCAACCCCCAGACCCCCCAAACCCCAACACCCAACCCCCAGACACCCAACCCCCATACCTTCCCCCCCCAAAACATCCCTCCCCCCATCCCACCCAACCCCATCCCAACCCTTCCCATATCCCAAACCCCCTACCCTAACGCCACCCCAAAACCCCTACCCCTAACCCTAACCCCAACCCTACCCCAACCCAAACCCTATCCCCTAAAACGGTTTCCCCCCATCATGGTGCCCTAGTGACCTCCTCCCCCAGACATGCAGCCGCCCCACCTAGTATTCTAGTGCCCTCCCACCAAAGGCAGCCCCCCCCACCTAGTTTTCTAGTGACCTCCTCACCCAGCACTGCAGCCCCCCCAACCATAGTATTCTAGTGACCCCCTCACCCAGACATGCAGCCCCCCACATAGTATTCTTAGTGACCTCCTCAACCCAGACATGCAGCCCCCCCACCATAGTATTCTAGTGACCCTCCTCACCCAGACATGCAGCCGCCCCCACAATAGTATTCTAGTGACCCCCTCACCCAGACATGCAGCCGCCCCCACCATAGTATTCTAGTGACCTCCTCACCCAGACATGCAGCCGCCCCCACCATAGTATTCTAGTGGACCTCCTCACCCAGACATGCAGCCGCCCCCCACCATAGTATTCTAGTGACCTCCTCACCCAGACATGCAGCCGCCCCCCACCATAGTATTCTAGTGACCTCCTCACCCAGACATGCAGCCGCCCCCCACCATAGTATTCTAGTGACCTCCTCACCAAGACATGCAGCCGCCCCCACCATAGTATTCTAGTGACCTCCTCACCCAGACATGCAGCCGCCCCCACCATAGTATTCTAGTGACCCCCTCACCCAGACATGCAGCCGCCCCCCACCATAGTATTCTAGTGACCTCCTCACCAAGACATGCAGCCGCCCCCCACCATAGTATTCTAGTGGACCTCCTCACCCAGACATGCAGCCCCCCCACCATAGTATTCTAGTGACCTCCTCACCCAGACATGCAGCCCCCCACCATAGTATTCTAGTGACCTCCTCACCAAGACATGCAGCCGCCCCCACCATAGCGTAGAGCCCTGGTGTGATACAGTCCGCCCCTGGAGAACACCAGCCCTTGAAGATGATCCAGTCGTGATGGTTTAACGCCATCTGTTCCATGGCAACTCCCAGTAGTCTGCCTGCTATCGCCCCTACAGCCATACTGGGGATGAAGAGCCCGGAGGGGACCTGGAGAGATGGAGGGAGGAAGGAGGGAGTGGATGAGCGTGTAACCAATTTTCAAATATTGATTGTCCTTCTTGCTGTTACTAGCGTCCTGTCCAGGGGGTGTACTGTACATCAAGCTGCCTCACTACAGGAAAACAGGTCCTGTCAGGGGGTGTACTTGTACATCAAGCTGCCTCACTACAGAAACAGGAGATAGACTATGTCCTGTCCAGGGGGTGTACTTTAATGCTCACTACGAACAGAGTATGTGTCCGTCCAGGGGGTGTACTGTACATCAAGCTGCCTCACTACAGAAACAGGAGATAGACTAGTGTCCTGTCCAGGGGGTGTACTGGTACATCAAGCTGCCTCACTACAGAAACAGGAGATAGACTAGTGTCCTGTCCAGGGGGTGTACTTGTACATCAAGCTGCCTCACTACAGAAACAGGAGATAGACTAGTGTCCTGTCCAGGGGGGTTGTACTTGTACATCAAGCTGCCTCACTACAGAAACAGGAGATAGACTAGTGTCCTGTCCAGGGGGTGGTACTGGTACATCAAGCTGCCTCACTACAGAAACAGGAGATAGACTAGCGTCCTGTCCAGGGGGTGTACTTGTACATCAAGCTGCCTCACTACAGAAACAGGAGATAGACTAGTGTCCTGTCCAGGGGTGTACTTGTACATCAAGCTGCCTCACTACAGAAACAGGAGATAGACTAGTGTCCTGTCCAGGGGGTGTACTGTACATCAGCTGTCTCACTACAGAAACAGGAAAGACTAGGTCCTGCCAGGGGTTGGACTTGTACAAGCTAGCCTCATCTACAGAAACAAGATAACATGTCGTCAGGGGTGTCCGTAAATCAAGCGTCTACACACAGAAACAGGAGATAACTCACGTACCTGTCCAGGAGGGTACTGTACATCAAGCTGCTCATGAAGACAGGAGTGGACTAGTGTCGTGCCAGGGTTGTCTGTACACAACGCCCACTCAAACGAGATAGACTAGTGTCCTGTCCAGGGGGTGTACTTGTATCAAGCTGCCTCACTACAGAACAGGGTAGATAGACTAGTCCGTCCAGGGGGTGACTGTACATCAGACGCTACAGGAAAAATAGATAGACTAGTGTCCTTCAGGGGTGTACTTGTACATCAGCGCCTCACCACCAGTATACATGGATTAGACTAGTGTCCTGTCCACGGGGTGTACTGGACTCAGTGCCTCACTACAGAAACAGTAGATAAACTAGTTCTGTCAGGGTCTGTTACATCGAGCTCTCACTACAGAACAGGATGTAACTAGTGTCCTGTCAGGGGGTGTCCTGTACATCAAGCTGTCTCACACTACAGAACAGGGATAGACTAGCGTCCTGTCCGGGGGTGTACTGTGTACATCAGCTGCCTCACTACAGAAACAGAGATAGACTAGTGTCCTGTCCAGGGGTGTACTTGTACATCAAGCTGCCTCACTACAGAAACAGGAGATAGACTAGTGTCCTGTCCAGGGGTGTACTGTACATCAAGCTGCCTCACTACAGAAACAGGAGATAGACTAGTGTCCTGTCCAGGGGGTGTACTTGTACATCAAGCTGCCTCACTACAGAAACAGGAGATAGACTAGTGTCCTGTCCAGGGGGTGTACTGTACATCAAGCTGTCTCACACTACAGAAACAGGAGACAGGCTCCTGCCCTATGGGCCGTTCTGGCTCGGACAAGGTGATAAGAGAATATTTATCAAAAAAAGATCACAATTGTTAGATCAAAAATAGGTAAAAATAATAATAATACAACCCTCCACCTACCTTCATGCCGAAGGTAACCACGGTGACCAGCATCTTGAAGAAGAGGGCCAGTGCCAGTTGCCATAGTGCTGTGTACACCCCTGGTCCAGCTGGCCTATCAGGGAGTGTGTTACTGAACGCCCTATCAGCGAGGGTGGCACTAAACACCCCTGAGTCAGACCTGAAGGAATGAAATAGTAAGTACATTTTAGTTGACAACATTTAAACACACACTCCACCCCCCAGTTAGTACCTGTTCTCAGAGCTGTTGTATTCACACAGCTGTGAGGAGTCCAGTAGAGAACAGTCATTAAACAGTTCTGAGATCAGTTCTGACCCACTCATCCTGGTGTAACTGTTAGGGAAGGAGAGGAGGGCTGTGATTCCAGTTACCACCAAGACCTCCAGCACCGGGTAGTGGCCCAGACGAGTGGTCTTACCTGGGGAGAGGAGGAAGTCAATCAGTTAGTTAATCAGTCCATCATTGTGTTAATCAATGAATAAACCATTCACTCAGTTAGTCAATCAAAACGGGAACAGGAGAGAAACAGAGGGTCATTAGTTATAAGTAAAGAAGTCTCTCCCTCCCCCTCTCCACTCTCTCCCTCCCTCCTCCCCGTCTCTCCCTCCACCCCCCCTCCCTCCCTCCCTCCCTCCCACTCACGTCTTCTGCACCAGGCGATATTAGCCCTGATGAAGAGCGCCCCCCAGAGGCCACCGAAGACACCCAGGAGGATAAAGGGGACCAGCTCCACCATGTGCCAGGGGGTGTGGAACTCCACGTAGAACAACACCAGTCGGCTGTTGCCAAACGGGTTGATGGAGCGGAGAGTGAAGGCTGCCACCAACGCAGCGAAGAACGACCTCCACAGGGTATCAGAGGGGAAAGAGAGAGGGACAGGGGGAGAAGAGAGGGGGAAGGGGGGAGAAAGAGAGGGGGACAGGGGGAGAAGAGAGGGGGGACAGGGGAAAAGAAGAGAGGGGGAGAGGGAGGAGAGGAGGGGGAAGGAGGAGAAGAGAGGGGGACAGGGGGAGAAGAAGAGGGGGAAGGAGAGAAGAGAGGGGGACAGGGGGGAAGAGAGGGCAGGGGGGAGAGAAGAGAGGGGGACAGGAGAGAAGAGAGGGGACAGGGGGGAAGAAGAGAGGGGGACAGGGGAGGAAGGAGGGGGAAGGAGAGAAGAGAGGGGGAAGGGGGAAAGAGGGGAAGGAGAGAAGAGAGGGGGAAGGAGAGAAGAGAGGGGGACAGGAGAGAAGAGAGGGGGACAGGAGGAGAAGAGAGGGGGACAGGAGAGGAGGGAGAAGAGAGGGGGACAGGGAGAGAAGAGAGGGGGACAGGAGGAGAAGAGAGGGGGGAAACAGGGGAGGAGAAGAGAGGGGGAGGGGACAGGAGGAGAAGAGAGGGGGACAGGGAAAAGAAGAGAGGGGGGACAGGGGAGAAGAGAGGGGGACAGGGGGAGAAGAGAGGGGGACAGGAGAGAAGAGAGGGGGACAGGGGGAGAAGAGAGGGGGACAGGGGGAGAAGAGAGGGGGACAGGGGAGAAGAGAGGGGGGACAGGAGAGAAGAGAGGGGGAAAGGGAGAGAGAGAGGGGGGACAGGAGAGAAGAGAGGGGGACAGGAGAGAAGAGAGGGGAAGGAGGAGAAGAGGGGGGAAAGAGGAAGAGAAGAGGGGAAGGGGGAGAAAGGGGAAGAGAAGAGAGGGGGACAGGGGGAGAAGAGAGGGGGACAGGGGAGAAGAGAGGGGGACAGGGGGGAGAAGAGAGGGGGGACAGGGGAGAAGAGAGGGGGACAGGGGAGAAGAGAGGGGGACAGGGGGAGAAGAGAGGGGGACAGGGGGAGAAGAGAGGGGGACAGGGGGAGAAGAGAGGGGGAAGGGGAGAGAGAGGGGGACAGGGGGAGAAGAGAGGGGGACAGGGGGAGAAGAGAGGGGGACAGGGGGAGAAGAGAGGGGGACAGGGGGAGAAGTTCTGTAAGTCTCGTTCACCAGTCAAAAGGACTAGTTTCATGTACATGTAGTAGTATCTCTTTCTTCAAGTCTCCTACTTACAATTTTATAGCGCAACATTAACATTGGTGAACAAAAAGTACCATTGGTGAAATCTCCGGGTTTATACCTGAATGTTTTACTTTCATTATTCAGGTGAAGAGTTCCCTTACCTCCTCCAGGCTGAAGAGCACTCCTCCTATAGGAGCTCCAAAGGCCACAGACACGCCCACTGCTGCGGCTGCAGACAACACCTGGGACAGAAGGGTAGATCAGTATACACTAAGACAAAAGACGCAGATGAAGGAAATTTGACGATGAGAGGAGGGCCTCTGCCACAATAATGAGATGCAACCATGATCCTAACAAAATGGACAATTAAGTATCTATTTCATCTCTACTGATTCAAACTAAATCGTTCCTCTCTTCTCTAACCTCTCGCCGTTTCGCTTCGTTCTGTCGGTACTTGGTGAACAGGTGACAGAGGATGTTGGCACAGCAACAGGCTACATGGACCAGGGGACCTTCCTTGCCAAGACTGAGACCTGTAGAGACAGAAAGACAAGTCGGTGTTTATTTACAGTTCATAGCGAGAGAGAGGGAGAGAGATAGTTGCCATAAACAAAGGCCAACCAGTGCTGCACAAACATTGTAAATACAACCCATATTTACGTTTATTTATTTTCCCTTTCATACTTCAACTACTTGCGCATTGTTACAACACTGTACACTTTTGTGAGTGTAATGTTTACTGTTCAGAGAGAGAGCGACAGAGAGAGAAATAGAGCGAGAGAGAGAGCGACAGAGAGCGAGAGAGAGAGAGCGACAGAGAGAGAAATAGAGCGAGAGAGAGAGCGACAGAGAGCGAGAGCGACAGAGAGAGCGACAGAGAGCGAGAGAAAGAGCGACAGAGCGAGAAATAGAGCGAGAGCTAAAGAGAGCGAGAAAGAGAGAAATAGAGTCGAGAGAGAGAGCGAGAGAGAGCGAGAGAGAGCGACAGAGAGCGACAGAGAGCGAGAGAGGGAGCGAGACAGAGAGCGAGAGAGAGGGAGCGAGAGAGAGAGCGAGAGCGACAGAGAGCGAAAGAGAGAGCGACAGAGAGCGAGAGAGAGAGAGAGAGAGAGAGAGAGCGAGCAGTACCAGAAGAGACAGCCAGGACCAGGGTAATTGTCTTGATGATTAGGGTCCATTTCCCCAGGTAGCCTCTAATGATGAACCCAGAGAGGATGGTCTTTATCTGGGGAAACACAGGAGGGGAGAGGGGGTTAGGGTCTGTTATGGAAAAACAGAGTGAGGCTTCTGTAGAAGCAATGAAGCAAGGACATTTGGTTCAAGTTCATTAGGGCACCACGTAGCAAATCATTTTGCAGCGAAAAATGAAAACAACAAGTTTATTATTGGACACATCCATGTCCTTGTTTCAGTCCGTTTTCTGCCTAATTAAACACAACCCAAACTAACAACACACTCACCAAAAGCACAACCAGACCGTTTGTAGAACAAAAACATGCTAACTTCATAACGCTGAGAGATGTAAATGTAGTCATCTATTTTAGATGGTGTGGTTGTTGCAAAACAATACCAATGTGTCAATGATGGTTTTAAACCTCTCCCTTGAATGTGGGACCTTTGACAAACTTTCACAATGTTGTTACCTTGTTTTGCTTTGTGACAATTTGCCCCAATATCTCCTCACATGAGGGAAATAAAAATGCAGTCGTTTTCATTTTAAGCACATTGTCTGTGTGTGTGAGATTGTGTGAGATTGTGTGTGTTTGTGTGTGTGTGTGTGTGTGTGTGTCTGTGTGTGTCTGTGTCTGTGTGTGTCTGTGTCTGTGTCTGTGTGTGTGTGTGTGTGTGTCTGTGTCTGTGTGTGTGTGTGTGTGTGTGTGTGTCTGTGTCTGTGTCTGTGTCTGTGTCTGTGTCTGTGTGTGTGTGAGTAGTTGTGGCTACAGCTGAAAGTGTTTTAGCCCCATTTCGAAGGACAATACAGGTCAGTGACAACCCCAATAACACAGACATGGTCTTCACTCCAAAACAAAACTGTCCGCATCCCAAATGGCACCCTATTCCCTACATAGTGTCTTACTTACCGGGGCGCTGGTCAAAAAGCAGTGGACTTCATAGAGAATAGGAGATATTTGTTTTCTCAGAAATACAGACGAGAGTGATCAGGGTGTGGCTTTACCTGGTAGTGTTCACAAAAATGGTGTCTCAAAAAATAAAACAACGTACATTCTGCTCCTCCGAATGGTCTCGTACGTTGTCAAAAATGTGAGTTTCTGAAATTCAATGCATGCTAAATGCTCATACGATGTCTAGAGACACCGGAGTAAATTTTCAAAGAGAAATATTCATTTTTCACTTCAAAGTCGGTTACGTACGAGACGCGTTCAGAAAGTATTCAGTCCCCGCTCTGCTTAACTGGGTTACGTTACAGCCTTACACTAAAATTTATTAAATCGTTTTTCCCCCTCAACAATCTACACACGACACCCCATAATGACAAAGCAAAAACAGGTTTTTAGAAAAGTTTGCAAATGTATATAAAATCAAATAAAACTGAAATATAAGATTTACATAAGTATTCAGACCCTTTACTCAGTACTTAGTTGAATCACCTTTGGCAGCGATTACAGCCTAGAGTTGTCTTGGGTATGACGCTACAAGTCTGGCACACCTGTATTTGGGGAGTTTCTCCCATTCTTCTCTGAAGATCCTCTCAAGCTCTGTCAGGTTGGATGGGGAGCGTCACTGCACAGTTATTTTCAGGTCTTTCCAGAGATGTTCGATCGGGTTCAAGTCCAGGCTCTGGCTGGGCCACTCAAGGACATTCAGACACTTGTCCCGAAGCCACTCCTGCGTTGTCTTGGCTGTGAGCTTAGGGTCGTTGTCCTGTTGGAAGGTGAACCTTCGCCCCAGTCTGAGGTCTTGAGCGCTCTGGAGCAGGTTTTCATCAAGGATCTCTCTGTACTTTGCTCCGTTCATCTTTCCCTCAATCCTGACTAGTCTCCCAGTCCCTGCCTCTGAAAAACATCCCCACAGCATGATGCTGCCACCACCATGCTTCACTGTAGGGATGGTGCCAGGTTTCCTCCAGACGTGATGCTTGGCATTCAGGCCAAAGAGTTCAATCTTGGTTTCATCAGCCCAGAGCATCTTGTTTTCTCATGGTCTGAGAGTCCTTTAGGTGCCTTTTGGCAAACTCCAAGCGGGCTGTCATGTGCCTTTTACTGAGGAGTGGCTTCCGTCTGGCCACTCTACCATAAAGGCCTGATTGGTGGAGTGCTGCAGAGATGGTTGTCCTTCTGGAAGGCTGTTCCATCTCCACAGAGGAACTCTGGAGCTCTGTCAGAGTGACCATCGGGTTTTTGGTCACCGCCATTCTCCCCCGATTGCTCAGTTTGACCGGGCGGCCAGCTCTAGGAAGAGTCTTGGTGGTTCTAAACTTCTTCCCTTTAAGAATGATGGAGGCTGCAGAAATGTTTTGGTACCCTTCCCCAGATCTGTGCCTCGACACAATCCTGTCTCGGAGCTCTACAGACAATTCCTTCGACCTCATGGCTTGGTTTTTCTCGACATCAACTGTCAACTGTGGGACCTTATATAGACAGGTGTGTGCCTTTCCAATCCAATGTCCAATCAATTGAATTTACCACAGGTGGACTCCAATCAAGTTGTAGAAACATCTCAAGGATGATCAATGGAAACAGGATGCACCGGAGCTCAATTTCGAGTCTCATAGCAAAGGGTCTGAATACTTATGTAAATAAGGTATCTGCTTATTATTTTTAATACATTTGCCAACATTTCTAAAAAACTGTTTTTGCTTTGTCATTATGGGCTATTGTGTATAGATTGATGAGGAAAAAATATATTTTTATCCATTTTAGAATAAGGTTTTTTTTATTTTTTTTACGCAAAGAAAACTGGGTCTGGGTTTCTAAGGGTTAAATAGAACTGGATGCAATTCGATGAGACTGAAAAAGGTGGAAATGAAGGCTAGGAGTGACAATAAACACGTATTTTTTAAAAGGCAAAAGCTTTAGTCTTTTGTAACACTTTCGACATGTCTGAGCATGTCTGAGAGTGTCTGTGTGACCCAAAACCGGTTCAGTTAGCCCACTGAGCTAAAGGCTGCGTGTGTATACCGTGTCTGTGTTCTGTGTGCAAGTATCTGTGTGTGTGTGTGTGTGTGTTCACCTCTGGTATTCCTGATCCACAGGCATAAGGTGCGAAGGCCCGGACCAGAATGACAGCCAGGAAAGAGAACAGTAGAGCACACACCGTGAACATCAGGTAGTTGACTATGTACGCTGCCGCCCCCTACAGGATACACAGGAGGAGGACAGGGTCAGAACTGCAACTATTGATTATTACTGTAGTCTGGTCACCATGAGTAGATAAACACCAAGTCATGTTTCTCGTCAACCACCAGAGGGAGCTCACACCCTACTGAAAATGTACATAGCCATGGTCACGTCAAATCAATTTTTATTTGCCACATGCCCCCGAATACAACAGGTGTAGACGTTACAGTGAAATGCTTACTTACAAGCCCTTAACCAACAATGCAGTTTAAGAAAATAAAAAGTATTAAGTAAAAAATAGATGAATTGCATAATGCAAAAATTATAAACCCAAACTGGGAAGTTAGTTATTTTTCAATGATCTACACATGCTTACACACACACACACACTTCCCCCTCCTCACCTCTGAGCTACCAGCCAGTAGTTCAGCCCAGCTCTGCCACTGTGGACATTTGTCTCTCTCCTGAAAGGTGGTTTGGTTAGAACCCCAGCAGCAGTGTTCATGGTTGAACCAGAACCTAGATAGACACACACCTTCCTTCAGGTCTGTTAACCAGTGGGCCGAGATGTCTATCAAGCCCGCTAGAGCACCTGGGGGGAGAAGAGAGAGAGAGGGGAGAGAGGAGAGAGAGGAGAGCGAGGAGGTATATGCATAGGGAGAGAGAGAGAGAGAGAGAGAGAGAGAGAGAGAGAGAGAGAGAGAGAGAGAGAGAGATGAAAGAGATGAAAGAGGCGATAGAGTTGGAGAAAGAGACAGAGGAACAAAGAGGAATATTCTACTGTAAAGGATGAGTGATAGGAAGATGGAGAGAGTCTCACACACACACACACACGCACGCACGCACGCACGCACCTGACATGAGTCCTATGAGCAGCATGAGCAGCCAGCCAGAGAAGGCATCGCAGATACTATGAAGCAGGGCCCAGGTAGACTGCTCACTCTTACTGGTGATCTGGAGAAGAGAGGGAGTCAGTTTTCATTCTTCTCTTATGGAAAGGCCTTGTAGTTTAGCCTATCACCTCTTAGGTCAGCTTCTGTTACTGTAGTGACCATGACAACGGCCTTCCTTAGCTCTTAGAAGACAAAGACATTTCCATTCATTAAGGCCATACTGAGACAGCTTCCATTGTCCAGTGGACAAAATGACAACTATCACCTGTGCGTTTTGTTGACTGTGTCTATTTCCCGTGCGGAGCTGGATAAAAAAAATAAAAATAAAAAAGCGCTCCAGTTCTCTGCCCCTTCCACTTGGAATGAACTACAAAAAGGACATTAAATGACAGCTTGTCTCTTCGAATGAGTTTATAGCTAGGGTTAAAACTATGGTGGTCAATGTTTTCACCTTGATGCACCACACCGTCCCAAAGCATCTTAACATTGATGTTTTTATAACTGTTTGGTGTTTTGTGTTGTAAATGTGTCAAACGTTTGTGCGCTGCTATATTGGCCATGTCTCTCCTGTAAAATAGATTGTAATCTCAGTGAGACTAACCTGGTAAAATTAAGTTTAAATAAAAAATGTAAAAAAGGTCTCTTCCTCAATTCATCGTCTCTCCTCGCCTCCTTCTCAAAACTCATTGGAGGAGAAGGTCAGAAGGGAGGGGCCATGGACTTTCTTCTCCAATGAGCTTTGAGAAGGAAGTGAGAAGATGGATGCGAGGAACCAAGGAAAGATGGATTGAGAAAGCTGTGACCATGATCCCACCTCTCTGTGGCGGTCGCGGTCCTTGCTCTTCTCTCTGACCCAGTCGATGGTGTTGAAGTCTTCATAGGTCCCTACCCCCGGTACCGGCTCGTCTAGTAGGTCCATCAGCTTACCGTTACCGTTACCGGAACTACCGGCCCCGTTACCGGTCATACCATTAGAGTAGCCGGTATTACCGTAGCCGTCATGGCCTTGGAGAGAGAGAGAGAGAGAAGGATATGTTATGTTAACACACACACAAACACACACACTTTGAGAAACTGTTTGCTTCACCCGCTACACTATTGTTACCAACTAAATAAAATGTGAAAGAACATCAGTAGAAAATAATGTGTATTGTAGAGACACTGAGAAATATCGATAACGCCTTTGTAAACAATACTACAATACATTACTTTATTAAGATAACGTTTTCTGTGTGACTGACCATAGACACATTTCCCAAGACACAACAAAAGCTCTACAAACCATAGAGGCTGTGCCCCACATAGCACCCCTTTTCCCCATGGGAGAATCTCAATTGCGTACTGACCGTCTTTCTTCTCTCCCCTCGTCTCTTTCTCAAAACCCATTGGATGAGAAAGCCAGAGGTCCCGCCCCTCTGACCTTCTCCTCCAATGGGTTTTGAGAAGGAGGCGAGGAGAGCAGAAGCAAAAAGGGTATTCTCCCTACGTAGTGTAATCCTTTTAACCACAGCCCTGTGGGGATTAAGGTACCATTTCAGACACAGCCAGAGTTAGCGCCCGCAACAATAACCACCTCAACAACAACTCTAATCAACATCTCTCTAACGACAACAGGAAGTGACACAGGAAGCAGCCCGATTTCAGCTTTTTGTGTGCAAAACAATACGGTCCCTGGTGAATGAGACTGGAGTTATTCCACTGAAACAACCCCGCAGCCATCGTCGTCAGTCATCAGAGTGGTAGTGGAAGTCATAGTGTTTCCCAAATGACACCCTATTCCATAAATAGTGCACTACTTTTGACCAGGACCCATACATAGAGCTCTGGTCAAAAGTAGTGTATTATACAGTGCCTTCAGAAAGTATTCACACCCCTCGACTTTTCCAAATTTTGTTCGTTATATCCTGAATTTAAAATGGATTAAAATTAGATTTTGTGTCACTGGCCTACACACAATACCCCATAAAGTGGAATCATGTTTTTAGAAATGTTTACAAATTAATAAAAAATTAACAGTTGAAACGTCTTGTGTCAAATATTCAACCCCTTTGTTATGGAAAGCCTAAATCAGTTCAGGTGTAAACAGGAGCATAACATGTCACATATATAAGTTGACTCACTGTGTTCAATAATAGTGTTTAACAGGATTTTTAAATGACTACCTCATCTATGTACCCCACACATACAATTATCTGTAAAAGGTCCCTCAGTCGAGCAGTGAATTTCAAACACAGATACAACCTCAAAGACCAGGGAGGTTTTCCAATGCCTCGCAAAGAAGGGCACCTATTGATAGATGGGTAAAAACAAAACAGAAATTCAGACATTCCTTTGAGCATGGTGAAGTTATTAATTACACTTTGGATGGTGTATCAATACACCCAGTCACTACAAAGATATAAGCGTCCTTCCTAACTCAGTTGCCGGAGAGGAAGGAAACCGCTCAGGGATTTCACCATGAGGCCTAAAACAGTTACAGAATTGAATAGGAAAAAACTGAGGATGGATCAACAACATTGTAGTTAATCCACAATACTAACCTAAATGACAGAGTGAAAATAAGGAAGCATGCACAGAATAAAAAATATTCCAAAACATGCATCCTGTTTGCAATAAGGCACTAAAGTAACACTGCAAAAAATGTGGCAAATAAATTAACTTTATGTCCTGAACACAAAGCCTTATGTTTGGGGAAAATCCAACGCAACACATCACTGAGTACCACCACTCATATTTTCAAGCATGGTGATGGCTGCATCATGTTATGGGTATGCTCATCATCGGCAAGGACTAGTGAGTTTTTTAGGATGAAAAGAAACAGAATAGAGCTAAACACAGGCAAAATCCTAGAGGAAAACCTGGTTCAGTCTGCTTTCCAACAGACACTGGGAGACAAATCCACCTTTCAGTAGGACAATAGCCTAAAACACAAAGCCAAATATACACTTGCGTTGCTTACCAAGACAACACTGAATGTTCCTGAGTGGCCTAGTTACAGTTTTGACTTAAGTCTGCTTGAAAATCTAAGGCAAGATTTGAAAATGGCTGTCTAGCAATGATCAACAACCAACTTGACAGAAATGAATATTTTTTTTAAGAATAATGTGCAAATATTGCACAATCCATGTGTGCAAAGCTCTTAGAGACTTACCCAGAAAGACATGTTTTCACTTTCATTATGGGGTATTGTGTGGAGATGGATTAAATATTTTTTCCTCACCTATTTTGAATTCAGGGTGTAACTCAACAAAATGTGGAAAAATTCAAAGGGTATGAATACTTTCTGATGGCACTGTATAGGGCATAGGGTGCCATTTGGGACAAATTCAACATAGAATTTTACGGTCTATTTTTTTTAAATCGTCTATATACATCCTGTCTATGAATCTAAACAAAACTTTATTGAACGTTTTCAGGCCCTGGACTGAATCTAAACCTATAGTGGAAAGAAGGCTGTATTTACTTTCAACACATAGCCTACTACATAGCATAGGACTCAACATTATCCATATGCATTACCTTCAGGAACATAGCTAAGCTAGAACCTAATTCTACTGCAATAAAGATAAGCAAAACATGTCATATCTATGATCAGATCACGCCTCACAATGTGACTGAAGACAGGGAGGCTGCAGCTAACAGAGTGGAGATAGAAACAGCCAACACTGCAAAGATACACACTGTAGACACACACAGCGGTTCTATTGTCACACAGCGGTTCTATTGTCACACAGCGGTTCTATTGTCACTGTGGGGTTGAAACAGCTCAGGTGATGATAGGACACGTCAGACTGGCTTCTAAGACAGAAAGCACATCTGTCTGCCTGCTTGTTGGCACCTTAAAAGAGTTTGACATTTTGTCAGTGCTTGTAAATGTGACCTGCTAAATAGTTTAATTTGTAAATTAAGTACATGTATTTGATCATTAGTAAACAAATACAAACCTTGAATGGAGTACTCAAGTACTACTCTAAACTAGTTATATACAGAGGACACACTGGCAGAGACATACAGTAGGCCACGCTTTACAGTAGGTTAGCTGAAGGAAGAGACTTACCTCCAGTACATGGCATCAAATCACACGCATGCATGCATTCATGCAGACACACCAGATATAGAGCAGACTACCCAGCGGAAGACCCTGCATCACATCAGGATGAAAGCAGCCTGCTCCAACCCAGTTTTAAAAATGGCTTATGTGAACCCCAAAATCTAGGTCATAGGATAACCACAGCAACGACCAGGGCCACAGATGGGGCATACACACGCGCCGACCTTAAAAAACGACACATTTTTTGTGTTAATGGTTCTAACTTGAAGTGAAACTCTACGGGCTGGTTTTCCCAACACAGACTAAACCTAGCCTCAATAGATTCTCCATTGAAAGTACTTTTTAAATCTGTGTCGGAGAGAAACAGCCCCCAATGAGTTGATAGAGCTCAGAAGCTCCTCTTTAACGTTAGCTCAGTATGGCATTATATGATCTGGTTAATCAGCTGACTGAAGAGAAAGTTTAAAATAATAAAATAATCTTACTGCAACAACCTAAAACACAGCTTAGCAGTGACTCACATGGACTCCGGACCTCCTTCAAACACAATATTGAGACAATGCACACACACACACACGCACACGCACACGCACACGCACACGCACACGCACACACACACGCACACGCACACGCACACGCACACGCACACACACACGCACACACACACACACACACACGCACGCACACGCACACGCACACACACGCACACGCACACGCACACACGCGCGACTTGAGATGGGTGGATAATGGATTGTAAACGGTAGTAAAAATGTAATCCATGTACCACTACTGATAAGACATAATAAAATACAAGTACGCAGTTATATGTTATGAGGACAAATATTATAGGAAACAACTATTTTAGACAACTATTATTCTATACGACAGTAAGATCTGATTTAGTTAGAAAAAGGATCATTTCACACTCTCTCACAAAACAGGATCAAGTCCGTCTCAAAATGGCGCCGTATCCCCTTTTAGTAGCAACGCACTGTGTAGTGGGCTCCGGTCAAATGTAGTGCACAAAATATGAGGTCGGATGCCATTAGGGACACTTCCCATGTCATAATAACTGTAATAGTGATTTGTCCACTGTGTCCACTTTAGGAAAACATGTGACTGATGAATAAGCTGCCATTTCTACAACTCCATTCAAGTAGAACAGAGGAACTAAAAAAAAAAAATGGAGAAGTAGCGTCTAAAGTTCACTGTTAAACTCAACTGACCTAGATGCCAAAGCTAGGGGCCCAAGCAAGCATATCTTAATCTTACCCTCTTCCATCAAAAGGTTCTCACACGCTTTCTGTCCCCAGTACTCCCAATCCATCTCACTGGGAATCCACCTAGCCACACTCTGGCTAAATCCTAACTGGGAGAAACATCCCTACTCTGGAAAACGTACTCCTAGAAACGTACTCATAGTATAGGAAGTGTGTTCGGGGAGAGGGGCTTGGGAAACAGTTTCTGATAGGCCAAGGGGCTTGGTGGCCTTGGGAAATAGCTTCTAATAGGTTAAGGCTGGGGTTTTGCGTAATGGCTGTGTGTGACATGGGCTGCGTGACCCTGTGAGCTGTGACACTAGTGAGACGTGGGGGGGGGGCTCTGGTGGCTTGGTTTAATTTGTATCCCTGGTAGACTAGTCCCTTTACATTCAGTGTTCACAGATCTAAGGACTGGGCAGGAGTAGTGATGATGACTTTACATTACCCTTCTGTAACAGCCTGTAGCCCTGTTGCTAAACATTCCTCTATCTGCAACCGTTCAGGGGATACTAGGGACCATGAGAAGGGGCTAGGGACTGAAATGGAATGAGGTAGGTTCCAGTCAGAGATGTCGTAAGAGGGAAGACATGCTGTACTGCGGGTGGAAGGAAGGGGGGGAAGGAGCAGGCCACAATCTCACAGTTCAACATGCTGCTTTGGCAATACAAAAATGTACTTTTGTCATGCCAATAACAAAGCATGTTGAATTTAGTTTAATTGAAAAAGCACTGCATTGAACTCCCCCTCCATCTGTCTGACTCTGTCTCGCTCCCCGTCTCTCTCCCCCCGTCTCTCTCAGTCTCTCTCCCCCATCTCTCTCCGTCTCTCTCCCCCCGTCTCTCTCCGTGTCTCTCTCTCCCCCACTCTCTCCACTCCACCCGTCTCTCTCCCCCCGTCTCTCTCCGTCTCACTTCCCCCGTCTCTCTGCGTCTCACTCCCCCGTCTCTCTCCCCCTCCTCTCTCCTCTCCCCCCCCCGTCTCTCTCTCACTCTCTCCCCCGTCTCTCACTCCCCCCGTCTCTCTCTGTCTCTCACTCCCCCCGTCTCTCTCTGCTCCCCCCGTCTCCTCTGTCTCACTCCCCCCGCTCTCTCTCTCCTCCCCTGTTCTCCCTCACTCCCCCCGTCTCTCTCTGTCTCACTCCCCCCTCTCTCTCTGTCTCCTCCACCCTCTCCTCACCCCGTCTCTCTCTGTCTCACTCCCCCGTCTCTCTCTGTCTCCTCCCCCCCGTCTCTCTCTGTCTCACTCCCCCGTCTCTCTCTGTCACTCTCCCGTCTCTCTCTGTCACTTCCCTCGTCTTCTCGTCTCATCCCGTGTCTCTCTCTCCACTCCCCCCCGTCTCGCTCTCTCTCCTCGTCTCCCTCTCTCTCCTCGTTTCCCTCTCTCTCCTCGTTTCCCTCTCTCTCCCCGTCTCTCCACCCCTCGCTCTATCCAACCTTCCCCCTCACCTGACCCTGTGGAAATCAACATTCAGTCTTTGTCTTGTAACAATGTGACTTTGTGTAATCATTGACTGACAATTACCACGGAACGGATGTGTGTGATAGGGGAAATAAGCTCAACATGTATAAAGTTTAAAGAGCAGTTTAAATTGGTGATTTACATCTCAGAGAGAAAGGAATATATTCTACTGTCCAAATACTAAGGACAGAAGAAAATAATGGTTAATGTGAGCACAGAAGAGAATACTACATGGTGGAGAAGCTTCTCTGTGAAAGAGTGGGGTGAAAGGGTTAAAGTCTGACTCCTGGGTAAGTATCCACAAAGCCTCTCAGAGTAGGAGTGCTGATCTGGGATCAGGTCTCCCCCCAGCAGCCTCTACGGGTTCCACAACAACAACCATTTTCAGGGGAAATGGACGAGAACCTGTGACGTGACTTAAGCTTTTTTGGACGGTAACAAGGCAACACTCAATTGTAACTCCTCCTCCACATTTACTGGATTGGTTGAACAGTGCAGAAGAGCACCTCCCCCCCCGACAGATTCTTCTCATTTAGACCAGGGGTGCGTTCAGTTCAACTGAACGTTGCAGAACGGTTCGTGCTGAATGACACGTTTACCAAAAAGTTATTGTACGTTCTTGAACAGACTGGGGGAACATTTGCTCCCGTTTGGTGGGTGTGGCGAGATGTGGCTTGTATTTATGGTGCAGTGGCCCTGTGGACACCATTCCCCAACCCCATCCCCGTTTTTGCAACTGGTCGTTCAGTACAGCACCGTTTCTGTTCAATTTAATGTACAGAAAGTCAAAAACATACTTAACGCAGCCCAGAATGTGGGGGGTCTAGTTCCAGGTGTTTATTTTACGCCTGCTACGTTAGGTCCCCCCCGTCCACTGATCAGCAATATTGATATATTGTAAAGTGGTTGTCCCACTGGCTATCATGAGGTGAATGCACCAATTTGTAAGTCGCTCTGGATAAGAGCATCTGCTAAATGACGAAAATGTAAATGTAAAATGTACTCTGAGTGAGATGCTTTATGAATATGTGCCCTTGCCTGACCACAGAAACAGGAAGCTAAGTTTCAAATAGGGGCTGTGACATCGTCATAGAATCACCAGTATCCAGGCAGAGTTAGGCTACTGTCAATTGAGATGAATGAGACTACCGCATGACTTGAATGAAGAACCCTACAGTTGTGCTGCAAGAGGGCGATAGCTTATCGAAGTAGTTTCTGTAACCAACTGTCATGACTTGAATCAACCCCACTCACGAAGACTCAAAATCCAAACGGTTGTAACTCACAAACAGGCACAGCAATGACTTCTCCACTATTCTTTCAGTGTCTGGTTCTCTCCCCCCGGTAGTGTAGGCGCGTACCTGAACCGTATTCTGGGTCTAGAGGGGGCACGTCCTCGGTGTTGGAGAAATCGAGCGTGGCTCCAGCAATATCGACCAACTCATCATCGCTAGCCGCGTTGTGAAGACTTTCATAGTTCTCGTTGCAATACCCGGTGTTGTCCATTCTAGCGCCTGTAGATGAAACAAGGAAAAATGTCGATTATAAGTTTGTCAATTAACAACATCTTCGTAAGTCTTAAGTTAAAGTTGCATATACCTCGGTCGTTATTCAGTGTGTATTTTCTGTATACATTCTTCCAATATCGAAACATTGCTTAGAAAAATAAATGACAAACTCGCTACAACTATTCTCCCCGGCTTGACTAATATCTAATTCACCAGACTAGAGAACGAAGTTTAATACGGTTTGATGTATCGTAGGCTACTTCCCCTTCTCTCTTTTCACACTCATTTAGTTGTCGGGAAGTATTTTTTTGCATTTGCAACCCAGTGCCCTATATATATCGACATAGAGAAGTCCTCAAAACATTTTGCTCAACCAATAGATTTGTTTACCTCCTATGCTGAAGACAAACACTGGTGGGGTCGTAAAAAACACGAACGATAACAAAACACAAAGCGATAATACTGATAATCGGTTACTCACAACGATCATCCACACACACTCTCCACTTTTCTAACGAATAACAACAACTCCTTCCCTGAAACTGGTGACATATGTTACACGTTTTACCTTATAAAGCAGTAGGCTAAACTTCACAGAAAGACGAACATCTACACGCAGCTACTCACACATATGTCTGGCTGCTGCTACGTTGTAACAACGTCCCTTCCCTTGAAACTGCTTATGTACCAACATCAGTGAATGAGTGAGTAAGCCAGTTACAATGTAACTCTAGACACATGATCAACTGATCAGCGGATACAGTAAGCGAAGTGTTGTCGCTACATTTGTAACATTCAGTCTGCAACAGCTGATTATTGTTACAAACGTTAAACGCTTTACCGGCTAGCGCTAATATTGTATGGTATGGTAATCCCACCCAAACCCCCCTTGATCGGATCGAGTTCTAGGCTACTCTTATTCCATTTGACTAAATTGACATTCCCTACATGAAATACAGTCAGCATACAGAAATACAGTCAGAGCAATACCTCTATGAGTGCACAGTACAAAGCGAGCGGTGCGCTTAGCCAAGCAATGACATGTTAGTCTTGTGACAACAATTTATTCATTATTTCTGTCGACAGTAGACAAAGTACATTTCCTGGTCTGCGTTCAGTACGTTTTTACGTTCACGAAACGGTGCTGCACTGAACGACCATTTCAACAACTGGGCGTGGTTGGGTAACGCTGTCAGCCGTTGGCTGGTCAGCATGGCCACTGCTCTTTAAACACGTCACTCATTGCTTCAAACCACACACCTCGCCACACCCACCAAACGGGAGAAAACGTACTTCAAAAGTTAATAATGTACAATAACGTTTTGGGGGAACGTGTCGAGTACAAACCGTTCCACAAAGTAGCAAACGTTCATGCGAACTGAACGCATGACTGTAAATCGCTTTGGATAAAAGCGTCTGCTAAATGGCATATTATTATTATTATTATTATTATTATAACGCATCTCAGGTTTGAAGTTGGCGGTTTCAAATCAAATCAAATCAAATTGTATTTACATTTGTCACATACACGTGTTTAGCAGATGTTATAGCGGGTGTAGCGAAATGCTTGTGCTTCTAGCTCCGACAGTGCAGTAATATCTAACAATGAACAACTGTAATCCTACGTCTACGGAAAACGACGCTTCAGTTCTTACAAGTTAAGATTCAAAACATAGGCATTGTTCAGAGCTTGCCAAAACCTGTCTCGCCTTCTTTGGAATAGAAGTTGCTCCCGTTGGTTGTTTTTATGTCTTTGTTCAGACAGCTCAGGTCATAGCCTAGTGCACAGTTTTAAAATGTAACAAAACGTTTTGTAACGGAAAAGAAACGTTTCGGACATGTTCAGGTAAATCCCTCCCCGTTTCATTCCATTTTATTCTGTTTGGTTCCTAATGAATATGACACCGACCGATGTTGACCTGACAGTTTCAAGCTGCCAGCTGAAGGAACTGGGTTAGTGGCACAGATCAGGTTATCGGTGATCCTCAGGTCTACTAAACTTGACTGTTCTTCTGACTCACCCCGTTTACAACAAACATGCAAGCAATTGTTGGCAAAGCACATTTATCATGCTGAATAGCACCCCCTCCAGGCCTCTTCTTCTTCTGTAGTCTAGTTGGTCCCTGCCTAGGAGACTTCTTCTTCTGTAGTCTAGTTGGTCCCTGCCTAGGAGACTTCTTCTTCGGTAGGTCTAGTTGGTCCCTTGCATAGGAGGACTTCTTCTTCTGTAGTCTAGTTGGTCCCTGCCTAGGAGACTTCTTCTTCTGTAGTCTAGTTGGTCCCTGCCTAGGAGACTTCTTCTTCTGTAGTCTAGTTGGTCCCTGCCTAGGAGACTTCTTCTTCTGTAGTCTAGTTGGTCCCTGCCTAGGAGACTTCTTCTTCTGTAGTCTAGTTGGTCCCTGCCTAGGAGAATTTTCTTCTGTAGTTAGTTGGGTGCCCTGCATGGAGGACTTCTTCTTCGTAGTTAGTTGGTCCTGAATAGGAGACTTCTTTCTTCTGTTAGTCTGTTGGTCCCTGCCTAGGAGACTTCTTCTTCTGTAGTCTAGTTGGTCCCTGCCTAGGAGACTTCTTCTTCTGTAGTTCTATTTTCTAACTTCTGTCTTCTTCGCTAGTGCCCTGCATAGGAGACTCTTCCTTCTCCAGTCAACCCGCCTAGCAGACCTCTTTCCTTTTCCCTCCAGAGACCCCTCATTCCAGCCAGAACCTTCCTCTTCCATCAGCCCCTTAGCCAGGAGACTTTCTCTACTTCCCTCCTAGAACCTCCAGTCATTCCGCAGAACTCCTCCTCCCTCTTCCACTTCCCTCCCTCCCCCTGATTTGTCAGACCACTTCCTCTCCACAACCCCCTCATAGCAGACCACTTCCTCTCCACAACCCCCTCATAGCAGACCACTTCCTCTCCACAACCCCCTCATAGCAGACCCCTTACTCTACACCTCTCTCCACAACCCCCTCATAGCAGACCACTTCCTCTCCACAACCCCCTCATAGCAGACCACTTCCTCTCCACAACCCCTTCATAGCAGACCACTTCCTCTCCACAACCCCTTCATAGCAGACCACTTCCTCTCCACAACCCCTCATAGCAGACCACTTCCTCTCCACAACCCCCTCATGGTCCTCTAACCCTCAGTGGTAGACCATGCCTGTAAACGCCAAGCAGACAGTGCTCTAACCCCGGACCACCCCTCCAAAAAAAACACTTATGCACGCATGACTGAAGTCCTTTCACAAAGCGTCTGCTAAAGCATCTTCCTATCACAACCTCATAGCAGACCACTTCCTCTCCACAACCCCTTCATAGCAGACCGATTCTCTGGATACTAACCCATTCATAAACCACTTTTTTTTTCACAAACCCCTATGGCCTTTTCACATCCCTGCATAACCTCCCACACCCCTATTCATAGCAGAACCACTTCTTAACAACCCCCTCATGGACCAGTTCTACAAAGTCATAGGAATTCATCCCGACAATTATGGAACAGATCAGAATTATTTACAATCTAGTTAAAACCTTCTTCCATTCACCACTCATAGCAAGACCACTTCTCTCCACAACCCCCAATAAAACTTTCTATCTCAAACCGTTAGTGCAACCATGTTTACAATCCCGTTAGCAGCCATTTCTCCTTGCCCAAATATCTAACTCACAACCTACAGGCATATCAGACAGCTATTAAACACCTATATCAGCGGCACCCTCTCGGCAAAAACCCCCTCTATGCAGACCACTTCTTCCAACCCATACACCATTCCCACAACTTTTAGGAGCAGCCAATTGCATGCTACTGCAGGGAATTCCACCCAGAACCCTCATGCCAGAATAAATTTAAGTTAACTTCTCTCACAACCTAAACACCCCTCCACAACCCGTTTAGAGAACCACTTGCATCTCCAACTATCGCCCCTCACAACCCCAGCAGACCATTCGTTAACCCCCTGCAGACCAGTCCTTCCACAACCCCTCATAGGACCACTCCACCCGCAACCCTCATGAGAACTTGCTCTCCACAACCGTATGCTGACCAACTTTCACAAACCCCGTCTCAGACCACTGTGCCTCTCCACAACCCGCTTGAACACTGCCGTTGCCAGTAACCCTTCATGGCAGACCTTCCTTCCACAACCCTCATAGCAGACCACTTCCTCTCCACAACCCCCTCATAGCAGACCACTTCCTCTCCACAACCCCTTCATAGCAGACCACTTCCTCTCCACAACCCCTCATAGCAGACCACTCCTCTCCACAACCCCCTCATAGCAGACCACTTCCTCTCCACAACCCCCTCATAGCAGACCACTTCCTCTCCACAACCCCCTCATAGCAGACCACTTCCTCTCCACAACCCCCCCATAGCAGACCACTTCCTCTCCACAACCCCCTCATAGCAGACCACTTCCTCTCCACAACCCCCTCATAGCAGACCACTTCCTCTCCAAACCCCCTTTATAGCAGACCACTTCCTCTCCACAACCCCCTCATAGCAGACCACTTCCTCTCCACAACCCCTTCATAGCAGACCACTTCCTCTCCACAACCCCTTCATAGCAGACCACTTCCTCTCCACAACCCCCTTCATAGCAGACCACTTCCTCTCCACAACCCCTTCATAGCAGACCACTTCCTCTCCACAACCCCCTTCATAGCAGACCACTTCCTCTCCACAACCCCTTCATAGCAGACCGATGGTAAGGTGGGGATGAATAAAATATTATTAATTTTTTTTTGCACAAAAGTAGTGGGCCTTTACCAGTCCTGTATTAACGGACCACACCCACTTATGGTTCATTGCGTACACTCACTTCTTAATCCCCACGATGCCGTTATCAAAGTAGTGTAGTGGAGGTATAGGCCGAATCAATTATGGAACAGATCAGAATGTTTAGTTTAAATTGTTAATAAACCTTTTCTTCACATTCTAGGCGCAGCTGAAATAAAAGATCCCAGATTTTTTTCATACACACAAAAAAGTTTATTTATCTCAAATGTTGTGCACAATTTTGTTTACATCCACGTTAGTTAGCATTTCTCCTTTGCCAAAATAATGAATCCACCTGACAGGTGTGGCATATCAAGAAGCTGATTAAACAGCATGATCATTACAGGTGCACCTTATGCTGGGGACAATTAAAGGCCACTCTAAATTGTGCAGTTTTGTCACAACACAATGCCACAAGTTTTGAGGGAGCATGCAATTGGCATGCTGACTGCAGGAATGTCCACCAGAGCTGTTGCCAGATAATTTAATGTTAATTTCTCTACCATAAACCGCCTCCAACATCGTTTTAGAGAATTTGGCAGTACGTCCAATCGGCCTCACAACCACAGACCATGTGTAACCACGCCAGCCCAGGACCTCCACATCGTCTGTGACCAGCCACCCGGACAGCTGATGAAACTGTGGGTATGCACAACCGAATAATTTCTGCACAAATTTCAGAAACCGTCTCAGGGAAGCTCAGCTGCGTGCTCGTCGTCCTCACCAGGGTTTGAACTGACTGCAGTTTGGCGTAGTAACCGACTTCAGTGGGCAAATGCTCACCTTTGATGGCCACTGGCATGCTGGAGAAGTGTGCTCTTCACGGATGAATCCCGGTTTCAACTGTACCAGGCAGATGGCAGACAGTGTGTATGGCATCGTGTGGGCGAGCGGTTTGCTGATGTCAACGTTGTTAACAGAGCGCTCCATGGTGGCGGTGGGGTTATGGTATGGGCAGGCATAAGCTACGGACAATGAACACAATTGCATTTTATCTTTGACAATTTGAATGCACAGAGATACCGTGACGAGATCCTGAGGCCCATTGTCGTGCCATTCATCCGCCGCCATCACTTCATGTTTCAGCATGATAATGCACGGCCCCATGTCACAAGGATCTGTACACAATTCCTGGAAGCTGAAAATGTCCCAATTCTTCCATGGCCTACATACTCACCAGACATGTCACCCATTGAGCATGTTTGGGATGCTCTGGATCGACGTGTACGACAGCGTGCTCCAGTTCCCGACAAATATCCAGAAACTTCGCACAGCCATTGAAGAGTTGAACAACATTCCACAATCAACATCCTGATCAACTCTATGCGAAGGAGATGTGTCGCGCTGCATGAGGCACATTTTCTGATCCACACACCTACCTTTTTTTGTAAGGTACACTACATAGCCAAAAGTATGTGGACACCCCTTCAAATTAGTGGATTCGGCTATTTCAGCCACACCCGTTGCTGACAGGTGTATAAAATAGACTACACAGCCATGCAATCACCATTGACAAACACTGGCAGGAGAATGGCCTTACTGAAGAGCTCAGTGACTTTCAACTTGGCACCGTCATAGGATGCCACCTTTCCAATAAGTCAGTTCGTCAAATTTCTGCCCTGCTAGAGCTGCCCCGGTCAACTGTAAGTGCTGTTATTGTGAAGTGGAAACGTCTAGGAGCAACAACGGCTCAGCCGCTAAGTGGTAGGCCACACAAGCTCACAGAACGAGACCACCGAGTGCTGAAGCACGTAGCGCGTAAAAATAGTCTGTCCTCGGTTGCAACACTCACTACCGAGTTCCAAACTGCCTCTGGAAGCAACGACAGCACAAGAACTGTTTCGAGAGCTTCATGAAATGGGTTTCCATGGCCGACTAGCCGCACACAAGCCTAAGATCACCATGCGCAATGCCAAGCGTCGGCTGGAGTGGTGTAAAGCTCGCCACCATTGGACTCTGGAGCAGTGGAAACGCGTTCTCTGGAGTGATGAATCACGCTTCACCATCTGGCAGTCCGACGGACGAATCTGGATTTGGCGGATGCCAGGAGAAGTTTGGTGGAGGAGGAATAATGGTCTGGGGCTGTTTTTCATGGTTCGGGCTAGGCCCCTTAGTTCCAGTGAATGGACATCTTAACGCTACAGCATACAATGACATTCTAGACGATTCTGTGCTTCCAATTTTGTGGCAACAGTTTGGGGAAAGGCCCTTTCCTCTTTCAGCATGACAATGCCCCCACGCACAAAGAAAGGTCCATACAGATATGTTTTTTTCGAGATTGGTGTGGAAGAACTTGACTGGCCTGCACAGAGCCCTGACCTCAACTCCATCGAACACCTTTAGGTTGAATTGGAACGCCCACTACAAGCCAGGCCTAATCGCCCAACATCAGTGCCCGACCTCACTAAAGCTCTTGTGGCTGAATGGAAGCAAGTCCCCACAGCAATGTTCCAACATCTAGTGGAAAGCCTTCCCAGAAGAGTGGAGGCTGTTATAGCAGCAAAGGGGGGACCAACTCCATATTAATGTCCATGATTTTGGAATGAGATGTTAGACGAGCAGGTGTCTGCATACCTTTGGTCATGTAGTGTATCTGTGACCAACAGATGCATATCTGTATTCCCAGTCATGAATTTATTTCAATTGACTGATTTCCTTATGTGAACTGTAACTCAGTAAAATCTTTGAAATTGTTGCATGTTGCGTTTATATTTTTGTTCAGTGTATATCAGTGGGCTCCCGAGTGGCGCAGCGGTCTAAGGCACTGCATCGCAGTGCTTGAGGCGTCACTACAGACCCTGGTTCGATTCCAGGCTGTATCACAATCCGGCCGTGATTGGGAGTCCCATAGGGCGGCGCACAATTGGCCCAGCGTCGTCCGGGTTTGGCCGGTGTAGGCCGTCATTGTAAATAAGTATTTGTTCTTAACTGACTTGCCTAGTTAAACAAAGGTTAAATGTAAAAAAATAAATAAAATAAAAAAATCACAGTCTCTCTTGCTATTCTTCATTTCAGCTCTGTTTACCCTACTATTACTACAAAGTGGAATAAAACGTACGCTGAATAACAACATAAACAAAGCGTATCCAACAGGACATAAATCACAACAACTCATGAACACACGCAAACACACACATGACTCCGAACACGGTAGTTGAAATAGTATTATTAATTATGGTACTCGTCTCACTTCTTTTTTTACAAAAAGATTTTTGCAATAAATCAAATAAAAAAACACATAGAAAAAAAAAAAACACACAGCCATTTAATTCTAGATTTAGGAGTAAATCCTAACCTGACTAAGTTAATTTTTTGACTTAACTGTATGTTTTGGATTGGTCCCAAGCCCATTGTAGCGAGATTTTATAATACAATGACAACCAGTACAGTAGGCTGTAATATATGTCTATATACACAGGCTGCATCCCAAATGGGACCTTCTTCCCTACATAGTGCACTGCTTTTGACCCATAGTGCACTGCTTTTGACCCATAGTGCACTGCTTTTGACCCATAGTGTTCTGGTCAAAAGCAGTGCACTATGTAGGGAAGAGGGTCCCATTTGGGACTTAACCACCACAGCATGGATGTTCTGTGTACATTTTAACAAAACAAGAATACATATTCCTTTGGCATTGAAATGAAAACAGCAATCTACAGTAAGTATGGTCAGCTCTTCTTAAGGGGTAATATCTTCATCAACGAAGCAGCGTTGTCTTGTGTCCTCGTGCATGTATTGTTGGGTCAATTATTATTTTTTTAATGGTCACAATTGTATTTGGATTAACTTTGCCATATGACATATACTGTAGATGACATTAGTTGACATATAGATGACATTAGTTGACATATAGATGACATTAGTTGACATATAGATGACATTAGTTGACATATAGATGACATATGGATGAACTTTTCAGGACGTATTTACACTACAAGGATGGATTCCAGTTATAACAAATGGATATCACTGTACACAACTTGTAATATACACAACAATAACGAATGCATGAATATACACTCTAAGACGTGGTGTGGTAGAGTTACGGGGCTCCGGGATGAAGTTTCCCCTGGGCACAGATCTAGGATCAGCTTGCCCTCACCCAAACATCACCTTAACCATTAGTGAGGAAAATACAAAACTTGACTCAGGATCAGCTTCTAGGGGATACTTCACCCTACACCAATATACACCCTCCAAGACGTGGTGTGGTGGTAGTGTTAGGGGAAACCCCAGGGTGTAAGATGTGATGCAGGTATCTGGAGTACATGTCATCTGAATCTCAATATTCACACTTGCAAACTACTAAGTATGTAGTGAATGATGTATTGTCCATGGATGCTAAGTAGTATGCTAGAGTGAATATTGGGACATGGTAGTATATGAGTGGAGAGAAATAAGGAGATTCTCTCTTTTTCTGCACAGATTATTTGATTATATTCAATGTACTTCCTAACAGTTTAACGAAAATACTTGTCTAGCGCCCCAGAGTCTCCCTGTCGTCTACAGAGGAGAAGTTATAAATAAATAAATAAATACTTTCTCCAGGCCTCTTCAGTAACACACGCTCACTGAACAACAACATCGTCATTGACCACGTAGTGTGTGGAGTGTGTGATTGTGAGGATAATGTTGTTAAGTTAAAGATACACACAGTAACACCAAATAGTAGGCTTTCTAATGGACAAATACTGCCAAGTGAAGACTTAAAGCATTCTCTCAATAGTGTCGAGTGTCAAGAAAAGGACTGAAGTGTTTTTGAAAAGTGGGCAGCACTTTTTAGGACGCACTGGGGTTGTTCAGTGCCCATAGCCCATCCTTGCTCATCCCCCTCTAGGGTCTCCCTGTGTAGGGTGGCTGTCTCCCTATAGTTCCCATACCCCAGGCCCATCTCCAACCCCAACCCCAGGCCCACCTCCAACCCCAACCCCAGGCCCATCTCCAACCCCAACCCCAGGCCCATCTCCAACCCCAACCCCAGGCTCTCCCATAACCCACTAACCTTCTCTTCTCCCTGGCCTTTCAATAGTGCCCAAGACCCAGGCCTAGACTGAGGCTCTTCCCATGGGAATGTCAATGTGATAGTGTCCATACCCCATGGACATCCTGAAACCCAGCTTTAAGGTTTCCTGGTTGGGTTGGTTTAATAGTGTCCATACCCCATGGACATCTTGAACCCTAACCCCAGACTCTCCCTCAGCCCTCTTAACTGCTCCTCTCCCAGTCTGATCTTCTCCTCCAGCTGTCTCTGTTCCACCAGTAATGCTGCCTTCATCTTGACGTAATGGCTGTAGTCACGGTGCTGTGGATTGATTGACACATCAAGGATAATACAATAACACTGGTATAGTAATATTATAATAATATATGCCATTTAGCGGACACTTTTACTCAAAGCAACTTACATTAGTGCGTGTATACATTTTTTTTCACATGGGTGGCTTCAGCGGGAATCAAACCCACAAACGTCGTGTTCTACCAACTGAGCCACATCTCTAGTAAAAGTGGAATAGTAAAATAATGTGTTAGGTACCTGTTCTGGGGAGAGGCATCTTACTAGCACCCTTCCTACAGCCTGCTCTCTGTGGTCCACGTGTTCCTTCAGGTCCTGGGCTTCAGACAGCTGGACTTGTAGCTGTCGCTTCTTCTCCAGGAGGGGGAGCTGTGGAGGAGAGATGGGGAGGGGTGGAGGGAGGGGTGGAGAGATGTGGAGGAGAGATGGGGTGGGATGGCGGGAGGGGGAGAGAGGGGGTGGAGGGAGGGGGAGGAGTGGAGGGGGAGAGAGGGGGTGGAGAGACAGGAAGAGGGGAGAGAGAAGTTTGTTTTAATGTTGTCCTTTCCTTCTCTGTCTGTCTGTCTGTGTCGGTCTCTCCTCACCCTCTCGTGGTGTCCAGTCTCAGCATCCAGGTTGTCCAGGGAGCTCTCGACCCTCAGTAGCCGACCAGACAGAGACAGTAACAGACTGAACACCTTATCCAGGTCCCCGATAAACATCCTGAACTTATCCACCTCGTTGGGTTGACAGACTGCTAGCACCAAGCTCTCAACCTAGAGGGGAGAAGACATTGTTAATGTGTGTGTGTGTGTGTGTGGGTGTGTGTGGGTGTGTGTGTGTGTGTGTGTGTGTGTATGTGTGTGTGTGTGTGTGTGTGTGTGTGTGTGTGTGTGTGTGTGTGTGGGGGTGGTTATGTATGTGTGTGTGTGTGTGTGTGTGTGTGTGTGTGTGGGTGGTTGTGTGTGTGTGTGTGTGGGTATATAAACTCAGCAAAAAAAGAAACGTCCCTTTTTCAGGACCCTGTCTTTCAAAGATAATTCGTAAAAATCCAAATAACTTCACAGATCTTCATTGTAAAGGGTTTAAACACTGTTTCCCATGCTTGTTCAATTAACCATAAACAATTAATGAACATGCACCTGTGGAACGGTCGTTAAGACACTAACAGCTTACAGACGGTAGGCAATTAAGGTCACAGTTATGAAAACTTAGGACACTAAAGAGGCCTTTCTACTGACTCTGAAAAACACCAAAAGAAAGATGCCCAGGGTCCCTGCTCATCTGCGTGAACATGCCTTAGGCATGCTGCAAGGAGGCATGCTGCAAGGAGGCATGAGCACTGCAGATGTGGCCAGGGCAATAAATTGCAATGTCCATACTGTGAGACGCCTAAGACAGCGCTACAGGGAGACAGGACGGACAGCTGATCGTCCTCGCAGTGGCAGACCACGTGTAACAACACCTGCACAGGATCGGTACATCCGAACATCACACCTGCGGGACAGGTACAGGATGGCAACAACAACTGCCCGAGTTACACCAGGAACGCACAATCCCTCCATCAGTGCTCAGACTGTCCGCAATAGGCTGAGAGAGGCTGCACTGAGGGCTTGTAGACCTGTTGTAAGGCAGGTCCTCACCAGACATCACCGGCAACAACGTCGCCTATGGGCACAAACCCACCGTCGCTGGACCAGACAGGACTGTCAAAAAGTGCTCTTCACTGACGAGTCGCGGTTTTGTCTCACCAGGGGTGATGGTCGCAGTTAACAGTGAGAGGACTTTTCTTTTTTTGCTGAGTTGATGTGTGTGTGGGTGGTTATGTATGTGTGTGGGTGGTTATGTATGTGTGTGGGTGGGTGGGTGTTTGTGTGTGTGTGTGGGTGGTTATGTGTGTGTGTGGGTGGTTGTGTGTGTGTGTGGGTGGTTATGTATGTGTGTGGGTGGTTATGTGTGTGGGTGGTTATGTGTGTGGGTGGGTGGTTATGTATGTGTGTGGGTGGTTATGTGTGTGTGTGGGTGGTTATGTGTGTGTGGGTGGTTGTGTGTGTGTGGGTGGTTTGTGTGTGTGGGTGGTTTGTGTATGTGTGGGTGTTTGTTGTGTGTGGTTTTGTGTGTGTGGGTGGTTTGTTGTGTGGTGGTTTGTGTTGTGTGGTTGTGTGTTTTTGTGGTGGTTTGTGTGTGTGGTGTTGTTGTGTTTTGTGTTGTGGGTGGTTCTTGTGTGTGGTGTGGTTTTTTTGGTGTGGTTGTTGTGTTGTGTGGTGGTTCTGTTGTTGTGGTGTTTTGTTTGTTTTGTTGTTTGGTGGTTTTGTTGTTTGTTGTTGGTGGGTGTTTTTGTTTGTTGTTTGTTTTTGTTGTGGTTGTTCTTTTGTTGTTTGTGTTTGTGGTGTTTTTGTGTTGGGTGGTTTGTTTTTTTTGTTGTGTGGGGTGTTTTTCTTGTGTGTTGTTTTTTTTTTGTGGTTTTCTGTTGTTGTTGTTGTGTTTGTGTTTGTGTGGTGGTTCTTGTGTGTTGTGTTTTGTGTTTGGTGTTTCTTTGTCTGTGCTGGTGTGTGTTTTTGTGTGTGGTCATTGTGTGTGGGTGGCCATGTGTTATGAGTCTGTTTGATTGAGTGTGTGGACAGGTGTCTTTTATACAGGTGACGAGTTCAAACAGGTGCAGTTAATACAGGTAATGAGTGGAGAACAGGAGGGCTTCTTAAAGAAAAACTAACAGGTCTGTGAAAGCCGGAAGTCTTACTGGTTGGTAGGTGATCAAATACTTATGTCATGCAATAAAATGCAAATTAATTACTTAAAAATCATACAATGTGATTTTCTGGATTTTTGTTTTAGATTCCGTCTCTCACAGTTGAAGTGTACCTATGATAAAAATTACAGACCTCTACATGCTTTGTAAGTAGGAAAACCTGCAAAATCAGCAGTGTATCAAATACTTGTTCTCCCCACTGTATGTGTGTGGGTGGTTCTGTGTGTGTGTGTTTGTACTGTACACACACCTCTTCTCCCAGCTGTGTGTTAGCCCGTATATCTTCCTGGAGACCTCTCTGTGCTTCTCTCAGAACACCGAGCTTCTTACGCAGACTCTCCATCAACTGTTTCTGTAGAGTGGGGGATGAGGAGACAGGGGAGGGAGAGACAGGGGGAGACAGGGGAGTGAGAGACGGGGGGAGAGAGACATGGGAGGGAGAGAACGGGGGAGACAGGGGAGGGAGAGACGGGGGGAAGCAGGGGAGGGAGAGACGGGGGGGAGACAGGGGAGGGAGAGACGGGGGGAGACAGGGGAGGGAGAGACGGGGGAGACAGGGGAGGGAGAGACGGGGGGGAGACAGGGGGAGGGAGAGACGGGGGTAGACAGGGGAGGGAGAGACGGGGGGAGACACGGGGAGGGAGAGACGGGGGAGACGGGAGGGAGAGACGGGGAGAGACGGAGGAAAGACGGGGGAGGGAGAGACGGGGGGAGACAGGGAGGGAGAGACGGGGAGGGAGAAGATGGAGGGAGAGATGGGGGGAGACAGGGGAGGGAGAGACGGGGGAGACAGTGGAGGGAGAGACGGGGGAGACAGGGGAGGGGAGAGACGGGGGGAGACAAGGGAGGGAGAGACGGGGGGGGAGACAGGGAGGGAGAGACGGGAGGGAGAGACGGGAGGAAGAGACGGGGGAGGGAGACAACGGGGGGAGACGAGGGAGAGATGGGGGAGACAGGGGAGGGAGAAGGGGGAGACAGGAGAGGGAGAGACGGGGGAGACAGGGGAGGGAGAGACGGGGGGAGGAGACAGTGGAGGGAGAGACGGGGGGAGGAGACAGTGGAGGGAGAGACAGGGGGAGGAAACGGGGAGGGAGGGAAGAGAGTTGTTAATCATCTCTCTTTCTCTCACTATCAGCATTAGTGATTTAGGAAGTGGGATCAATGCCATCTAAATTCCACAAAATGCAATACTGGAGCAGTATTCAAATCAATTTATGTTTTCAAATATCCCTAACATGTTAGACAGCTCGTCATCATCGCCGTGTGTGTGTGCGTATGTTGTGTGTGTGTGTGTGTGCGTATGTGTTTATTACCTTATAAGACAGTTGGTCATCATGGTCATCATGGTCAGTATCTCTGGCATCTGAGCAGTAGTCTTTCATCTGAGTGAGGACCTGAGCCTTGGCTGCTGAGATAGAGTAGGAGGACGAAGAACTGGAGCTGGCACCAGAACGCCTGGGGAGGGGAGGGGAGGAGGAACTGGAGCTGGCAACCAGAACGCCTGGGGAGGGGGAGGGGAGAGGAACTGGAGCTGGCACCAGAACGCCTGGGGAGGGGAGGGGAGGAGGAGCTGGCACCAGAACGCCTGGGGAGGGGAGGGGAGGAGGAGCTGGCACCAGAACGCCTGGGGAGGGGAGGGGAGGAGGAGCTGGCACCAGAACGCCTGGGGAGGGGAGGGGAGGAGGGAACTGGCACCAGAACGCCCTGGGGAGGGGAGGGGAGAGGAGCTGGCACCAGAACGCCTGTGGAGGGGAGGGGAGGAGGACTGGCACCAGAAACGCCTGGGGGAGGGGAGGGGAGGAGGAGCTGGCACCAGAACGCCTGGGGAGGGGAGGAGGAGAGGAGATGGAGTGATGGGGGAGGGAGGAAGCCCAAGACTTAGGGACTGTTTCAAATGACATGTAAATATATGTTACGTAATAATGTAAATGTTAATATAAGTCCATAAAGACATTAAACTATGTTTATTTGCTTTTGCTGACAAATGCATTGTTTTGTCTTTGAGAGATATAGTCCTTTATTAGAGCAATATGTATGTGACATGAATGAGCAAATGCATAAACCCCAAATACACACAGTCCACCTACCTGTCCAGGCTGTCGGTGTTGTTCTCCAGGTTTGAGCTACGGTGGGCCCCTCTACAGCTCTCCGTGCCCGCCTCGCCCTCACCGCTCTGGGGGAATAGCTCCTCCATGAGTCCCTCTCTGGTCCCCATCCCCTGGTCCTCCATCTCCCCATCCAGGGACCCACTCTCTGCCGTCTTCCTACCCGCCGGCGAGGCCTCCTGGTCAGGCAGCGTATCGATGTCTGTCTCCAGAACCTGTAGTAGAGTTAAGATCGTAACCGGTGAGCTCACTCCGCAGCTTAAAATGTCTCCACTTGCGTCGCCGAATTGCTAAGTGTTTAGTGGCGCAACTGGCTAGTATGTTATGAAGTGGGCGGTCACGTGTTTGTTATGAAGTGGGCGGTCACGTGTTTGTTATGAAGTGGGCGGTCACGTGTTTGTTATGAAGTGGGCGGTCACGTGTTTGTTATGAAGTGGGCGGTCACGTGTTTGTTATGAAGTGGACGGTCACGTGTTTGTTATGAAGTGGGCGGTCACGTGTTTGTTATGAAGTGGGCGGTCACGTGTTTGTTATGAAGTGGGCGGTCACGTGTTTGTTATGAGTGGGCGTCATTTTGTATGAAGTGGGCGGTCACGTGTTTGTTATGAAGCTGGGCGGTCACGTGTTTGTTATGAAGTGGGCGGTCACGTGTTTTTTATGAAGTGGGCGGTCACGTGTTTGTTATGAAGTGGGCGGTCACTGTTTTGTTATGAAGTGGGCGGTCACGTGTTTTGTTATGAAGTGGGTCGGTCACGTGTTTGTTATGAAGTGGGCGGACACGTGTTTTTTATGAAGTGGGCGGTCACGTGTTTGTTATGAAGTGGGGTCCGTGTTTAGTGCGGTCACGTGTTTGTTATGAAGTGGGCGGTCACGTGTTTTATGAAGTGGGCGGTCACGTGTTTGTATGAAGTGGGGGGGCGGTCCACGTGTTTCTTATGAAGCGGGCGGTCCACGTGTTTCTTATGAAGTGGGTGGTCACGTGTTTTTATGAAGTGGGGGCGGTCACGTGTTTCGTTATGAAGTGGGCGGTCACGTGTTTCTTATGAAGTGGGGTGGTCACGTGTTTTATGAAGTGGGCGGTCACGTGTTTGTTATGAAGCGGGCGGTCACGTGTTTGCGGAGCAGAGGAACACTAGTTTAAGCCCAGTAAGGGGACAGTGAACTAAGCTATAGTTATAGAAGTTAGCAGCACGCTCAGGGGTGAAGTTTGTCTAGGTACAGATCTAGGATCAGCTTCCCTTCCCCCAATCCTATCACTGGAGGACTTCTTTAACTATTAGAGGGGAAAATGAAAATCTGACCTAAGATCAGCATATAGGGGCAACTTCACCCCACTCCTTAGCAGCACAGTGAAGCCTGTCACACACCGTGACAGGCAGAGCAAAACACTGGAGCTCTGTCCTGATTGGCTCTTCATTCTCAGGAAGCCCCTCCTCCTGGAAGTCGTCAATGTCTGTTTCCATGGGGATGTCCACTTCCTGTTCCAACTCTGGTTCCAATTCTGGTTCTGGAATGGGAATCAATCAGTTAAACATTGAATCAATCAACCGTACTATACGAAGCCCTTTTTACATCAGCAGTTGTCACTTTACAGAATTAGATTTCTGGTGTTCCTTACTGTTGTTGTTGTTGTTGTTGTGGGGGTGATTCCGGAATCTTCTACTGTTCTGTTGCTGCTGCTTGTAGCTCATAGCGAAGTAGGACTCTGGAGAGATAGCGCCATTCTCTATGGTGGGTAGGGCTGAGACGCTATGCATCCTGGGAGATGGAGTTCTCTCCCACTCAGCCCCGGTCCTCTGCTGTCTATGAGAGATGGGCTTCAACACAGCAGAGCGATCTTGATCATCCATGTTGCATAGCCTGGAGTGGGATGACAATAGGGTTAAGCGTGTGTGTGTGTGTGTGTGTGTGTGTATGTGTGTGTGTGTGTGTGTGTGGTCTCCATCTCCTTCTCACCTGGCAGTGTTGTCTGATGGTGGTAGAGGGGGCAGTGAGTCGTTATGGCGAGTGGGTGTGTCTCTCTCTCTATGGTGCGGAGCCACCGGCCGGAAGGTCCTGCGTGTGAACCCAGGACTGGGCGGGGCTTGTGAAAAGGGGCGTTCTTGGAGCTGGCTCAGGCTACAGCGCTGGCACCCCTCTAGCTCCTCCCTCTGAGGCGGGACGCTGTAGGAGCGCTGACGTGTCATTTTGGACGTTTCGGTGGGACAGGGGGTGTGAGAAGGGTGAGAGGGTGGACCCTCTGGTGGAGTGAAAGGGAGAGGAGGGGAGGTGGGGTTTACCGACGGATGGACGGATGACGTGGTGGAGGAGGAGGAGAGGGTGTGGTGGGACGCTCTCCTTCGGTGGAACTCCTCCCATTTGGGGGGAGGCGGCCTGGGAGGGGGTGGGGTTTTCTTCCTGGCAACCACTCCCCGAGCTCCTCCCACTCCACCAACCCCGCCTCCCTCCTCCAGCTCTGAAAGCGGTGTCTCTGTAGCAACTGAGGGTGAAGCACGGCAGTATGTGGAGTCAAAGCATAGATTGTTCTCCAACATGGCCCTGCTTCTTTGTGATGAAGATGATGATGAAGATGTGTGGTCATCCATACTAAAGGCAGACAGCCTGCAGCTCCAACCACCTCCACCCGGGTGGTGCTGGTATTGGTCTGGTGTAACTGTTAAAGCGCAATCTGGTGGCCTGGTGCAGGAATCACGTCTGTACTGCGGGTAGTCCCTGAGAGAGAGAGAAAGAGAGAGACAGAGAGAGAGAGAGAGAGAGAGAGAGAGAGAGAGTGAGAATGTAAGTGAGTGAGTGAAATGTTTCTAACTAACTACACTGTATTCCTAGCCAGATCTGAGAATGGAAGCCTTCTCTAATTCTCCCATAGGGACAACCATTAGACTGTCATCATAACATGGAGGGGAGAGAGAGAGAGAGAGAGAGAGAGAGGAGAGAGAGAGGAGAGAAGAGAGAGAGAGAGAGAGAGAGAGCAGAGAGAGATAGACGATAGATAGAGAGAGATCAGATCGAAGCCGGAGAGAGGAGAGAAGAGAGAGATCGAGAGAGAGAAGAGAGATAGCTGACAGATGACGTGACCTCCTCTCGTAGGACTGATCTTCCTGTTGATTTGTGTCTGTTCCCGTGGTAACGGCCGGGATGGCGCAGGATACTCCTGTGGAACACATTCATTAACAACACTCATTACCGTCTTTGAAAAGCTTCTAAAAAGTGATGATTAGGAGGCTACTTAGGTTTGAACAATAATTCAAACACATCTACCAAAGACAGGGAGGAGATTAATGGACAAAAAGTAGGAGAGGAGGCTATTATTTCATCCCTGGCTATACAAAGAGAGAGGAGCTATTTCCATCTAGGCTATCGTCTGGGGAGAAGGGGGAGAGGAGCTATTTCAATGCCAGGCCTATGAGGGGGGAGAGGAGCTATTTCATCCAGGCTATAGAGGGGAAGTGGAGCTATTTCATCCAGTCTATAGAGGGGGAGAGGAGCTATTTCATCCAGGCTATAGAGGGGGAGAGGAGCTATTTCATCCAGTCTATAGAGGGGGAGAGGAGCTATTTCATCCAGTCTATAGAGGGGGAGAGGAGCTATTTCATCCAGGCTATAGAGGGGGAGAGGAGCTATTTCATCCAGGCTATAGAGGGGGAGAGGAGCTATTTCATCCAGGCTACAGAGGAGATGTTATAAAGGGTTTCCAAACATCTGTTGTAGAAAAACTCAACTTGGGGGACAGATTAATAATAAAATGCATGTAGATTCAGTTCCCATCTCAAAGACTGGAATCAGTTGATAAAAACCCCTCAAGTGTGTGTGTGTGTGTGTGTGTGTGTGTGTGTGTGCGTCTTTGTATCCTCTGGTATCGGCCAACCATCCTCCTTCCTTAGGGTGCTTCAGGCAAGGCCAAGCAAGCTTCAATACACTACATCCTCATTCACATCTGGACCCATTTAATACTGTGGGCATCTTCAAATACTGTAGAAGATACTGTCTATGTCCTCTATAACAGTAGGCTATACTTGCCTCTGTTGGTGTGTAGCCCCATGGTGGGTACCCCTGATGTGGAGTCTGGTTGTCCTGGAGGAGAGGGGTGTTGACCGGTTGGAAGGCTGAACGAGGGGCCTCGATCTGGGCTTGGGGATAGGGGTAGGAGTGGGTCTGGAGCTGAGTCCGAGCTGAACTGAGTGACTTTCTCTCCCTCTCTCCATGTCTCTCTCGCTCCATCTCCCTCTCTCCTTGTCTCTCTCGCTCCATCTCCCTCTCTCCTTGTCTCTCTCGCTCCATCTCCCTCTCTCCTTGTCTCTCCAGCTCAATCTCCTTCTCTCTTTCTCTCTCCATCGCCATCTCCCTCAGTCTAGCCCTCTCCTCTCTTTGCCTGTCCTCCTCTCTCTCCTTCACTCTTTGTCTCTCCATCTCTCTCAGTCTAGCCTTCTCCTCTCTTTGTCTCTCTTCCTCTCTCTCCCTCTCTCTGTCCCCTTTCAAGCCCCATCTCCTGCTCTCTTTCCCTCTCCCCTCTTTCCCTCTCCATATCCTCTCTCTCCCTTGCTCTCTCCTTCTGCCTCTCCTTCTCCCTCTCGCTCTCCTTCTGCCTCTCGCTCTCCTTCTGCCTCTCGCTCTCCTTCTGCCTCTCGCTCTCCTTCTCCCTCTCTCTCCCTTTCTCTCTCCCTGTTGCTGCTAACCAATTGTCTCCGGGTCGCCATGGCAGTAATCGATAGGAGACTTTCCTGCTGGATTCCCCCCTGGTACGAGTACCTCCGCTGGGCTTGTCCCTGTCCGTAGCCCCCTCCCTGGTTTTCCAGCGTGGACGGATGAGGCTGCCTGCCATGTCTATCTGGCCTCTGTCTTCGACTCGTCAGGCCTGGGAGATTCGACACCGACATACTCCTACTGGTCTCCTCAAAGAACTTACAACGATCCGCGAAAGGAAGAATATCGCACTCCTCCGTACGAGAAGAATGAGTGGTGGTGGAAGAAGAAGAGGAGGAGGTGGAGGCTGCTCTTTCCCGTCCTGACACCCCCAGGGCCCCTCTGACCCTCTCGCCCTGACGGTCAGTGTCCATTTCCGGTTGGAGATTGTGTTCGGGCGTCCACCTCCATCGGCGAGCCATACCAGCTGGAGCTAGCTCCTCCACGACCCGGATTCCCACATCGCAGCTGGGCATGGCTGGATCCAACTTCTGGGTGGTCCTGGATGGGTCTGAAGCGTGGACTTGGTTCTCTGGTGGTTCGGGATCTTCATCCCTGGGGGGTTGCAGAGCTGAAACTGGGGGTGGGGATGGCTGGTGGAGCTGGGGTGTGGAAGTAAAAGCCAGTAGACTCAGACTTCCAGGGGCTGGAGCTGATCGGCTGGCGTCGGACAAGGTGTCCCCGTCTTGGGAGCACCTTTCCTGGGCAGGCGGATTGAGGTCGTCAGCCTCTTCCCTCTGGAGGTCCTCCAGGTCAGGACCCTCTTCTTCCTCGACCGTGTCCCTGCCATAGAGCAGCCCTCCTGGGCCTTTGCTCTTCGACAACTGGGCCTTCTTGCGCTGGATCTCATTTCGGAGGTTCGTGGCGAAGCGTTCGCTACGGCGGCGTGACCGGGACGAACGGTGACTCCTGGGTTTCTTCATCAGCACCTCTCCTTCATCATCATCATCATCATCCCTTCTTTCCCCTCTTCTTTCTTCCCCTCCTCCCCTCTGATCTTTCTCAAGCAGCTATCCACACTTGCTGCAGCAATGAGAGGCCCAAAGTCTGTCTTCCGTACCCGCTCAGAGCTCACCCCTCCCTGGCTACAGCCTCCAGAGGGCCCCCCTGATCCTGGTACACTCACTGACCTACCCCAGGGGTGTTGGACCTGGATGGGAGAGAGGAGAGTAGCAGCAGCAGCCACCACCTCCATACTCTCCCCCATTACCAATCCAATCTCCCTTGCCTCTCTAACCCCATCAATGTCCATCGATCCTGGGGTAGAGCAGCGACTCCCACCCCCTCCAGCACCCCCTCCCCACTTCCCCTGGTTCTGCTGGAGGTGGAGGGGGGCGTTGTTACTCCCTAGATCCCCAGACAGGTTCTCTCTGGTGGGGTGAAAGGGGGAGTGAAACAACTGGGAGCTGGAGGGGGAGGGGTCGCTGGAGAACTCTAGGAGATGTAGCTGTGACAAGAGTTTCTCAGGGGCGCTGTGTCTGTAGAGACCCGACGAGGAGTGCTTGTTCTGGGGGAGAAGGTGACTGGGCTCCCCTAAGGGTTCTGGATCTATGGAGGTGTCTGGAGGGCCGGGGCTGGAGATGGGAGAAGGGGGCTTCTCTCTGGGGCAGGGAGGAGAGGGAGAGGGGGTCTGGGTGGCTATTCTGGATCTCTGAGTTACTGTCCTTACGGGAAACCTTTTTTCTTGGAGATGAGGGTGTAGTACTGCTCCAAGGAATCCCCTTTGAAGTTCCCAACCTTATTTCCATTTCTGCTTCCCTCAGTCTTTGACGTCTCACAAGGAGCTGGATATCCGTTGCTGCTCGGAATGCCTGGAATGTTCAGAGGATCGTTGTCATCGTCCTCGGCATGGCAACGGGAGAGGCTGGGAATTCCGACGGGGTCAGGGATGCATCGTTGATCTTTGACCCCGGAACAACCCCGGGTGGCCCTGAAACTGTCCTTCCTGGTCGGCGGCTGGGGGGGAATCGAAACCCCCCTCCCCCTTCCTCCTCCGCCCCTCTCACCTCCTCCTCCTCCACCCCTCTCCCCTCCTCCACCACTCTCCCCTCCTCCACCACTCTCCCCTCCTCCTCCACCACTCTCCCCTCCTCCTCCGCCACTTCCCCCTCCTCCTCCCACCACTCTCCCCCCCTCTCCCCTCACCACTCTCCCCCCCCCCTCCTCCCACCACTCTCCCCTCCACCACCACCTCTCCCCTCCTCCTCCCCTCCTCTCCCTCTCCCCTCCTCCTCCTCTCCCCTCACTCCCTCCTCATCCTCTCCCTCCACTCTCCCTCCTCCTCCTTCACCACTCTTCCCTCCTCCTTTCCTTCTCTCGTCCTCATAGCAGTATGAAGATGGTCTCTCCTTCGCTTCTGGCTTCCTCACTCTCGGCCTGGTCAGCGACTCCGAATTTAGTAAGGCAGAGGTCCTGGTATCATCCTGGGGCTCACCTGACTCCCTCCCCAGGGATTGTGCATCGCCGCAGGCATACCCCCGGCAGGTGGGCCCCCCTGGACCCAGGCTCTGGAGGATATTCTCCATGGAACAGGCCTCACCGGGCCTCAGTGAGACAGTATAGTCAGACGTATTAGAACTAGCTGAAAAAGAACTATAGGCAGAGTCTCTCTTGTTGTTGAAGATGACAGGGTCGACAGGGGAATTCTGGGAATCGTAGTCTCTCTTGTTGTTGAAGATGGCAGTGTCCACTGGGGAATTTTGGGAATCGTAGTCTCTCTTGTTGTTGAAAATGGCGGCGTCAACAGGGGAATTCTGGGAATCGTAGTCCCTCTTGTTGTTGAAGATGGCAGGATCCACTGGTGAATTCTGGGAATCGTAGTTCACTTGGCTGCTAGGAGGGTCCAGGCTCTCCATGCTACCTAAAACAAAGACCATAATGTAAATCCGATGTTAAACTGTGTCTGTGCATTATCCTCCATGATTGTAAATGTGTGGTTGGATTGTGTTCAAATCAAATCAAACCTAGAGAACTGCTGTGGTCTGTGGAGTAGTGTCTGGAGAGCTGATTCCACTGGATAGACAGATCACTGTGGAGAGAGGGAGGTAGAGGGCGAGAAGGAGAGGAGTGAGGGAGAGGGGGGGTGTGGGTAGGGAGAGAAGGGGAGAGGGAGGGGAGGGGATGGAGGAGGGAGGGCGAGAGAAGGAGGGAGGGAGGGAAGGGGGGGGGGAGGCGAGGAGAGGAGGGGAGGGGGGAGAGGGAGAGGGTAGAGGGAGCGGGAGGAGAGAGGAGGCGGAGGGGGGAGGAAGAGAGAGGGAGGGAGAGGGGGGAGAGGAGAGGGAGGGGGAGAGGGAGGGGGAGGGGGGCGGAGAGGGAGGAGGGGAGAGAGGGAAGAGGGAGGGAGGGAGGGGGGGAGAGGGAGGAGGGGGAGAGGAGAGGGAGGGGGGGAGAGGGGAGGGAGGGAGGGGGGGGGAGGGGGGGAGGGAGAGGGAGGGGGGAGAGGGAGGGAGGAGAGAGGAGGGGGGAGAGGGAGGGGGAGGAGGGGGAGGGAGGGGAGAGGGAGGGGAGAGAGGGAGGGAGGGGGAGGGAGGGAGGGGGGAGGGGAGGGGGGAGAGGGAGGGAGGGGGGAGGGAGAGGGAGAGAGCGGGGGGGGAGGGAGGGGAGGGGGATGTACCGTTAAACCTGGCTCTGTGAAGATAGATCTAGTGCACAAATGGTCAGTAGGTGATTGTCTCACACTGGTTCAACATTTGAAGGTAGGAAAAGAAGGCAGAGCAGTCTGGGGTTTCTGCTGCGTCGCGGTAGAGAGAGACAGGAAATGAGGTGGTAACCAGGGGAAATGACATCCCCTCCCTCCTGAACACTCCATCAGGGAATGATGAGGAACATGACAGGAATACCAACTCTATGGTGAATCAGACACAGCACACAGCCGTACTACCTACCGACCGACAGAGACACACACAGAGACACAGACAGACAGACACACACACAGAGACACAGACAGAGACACACACACAGAGACACAGACAGAGACACACACACAGAGACACAGACAGACAGACACACACACAGAGACACAGACAGACAGACACACACACAGAGACACAGACAGACAGACACACACACAGAGACACAGACACACAGACAGAGACACAGAGACACACACAGAGACACAGACAGACAGACACACACACAGAGACACAGAGACACAGACACACAGAGACACAGACACACACGTGAACAGAAACACGCGTACACATTCACAAAAAATAACGCTCACAGCTCCGCTTAGGCGCGGCAGGTAGCCTAGCGGTAGTTTGCTGGTTCGAATCCCCAAGCCGGCAAGGTGAACAAATCTGCCGTTCTGCCCTTGAGCAAGGCAGTTAACCCCCAACAACAACTGCCTCACGGGCACCGATGACGTGGACGTCGATTATGGCAGCCCCCCCCCCGCACCTCTCTGATTCAGAGGGGTTGGGTTAAATGCAGTTGTGCAACTGACTAGGTATCCCCTTTCCCTAAATCAAATCAAATTGTTTTTGTCACATGCGTCGCATACAACAGGTGTAGTAGACCTTACAGTGAAATGATTACTTACAAGCCCTTAACCAACAAAGCAGTTTTAAGAAAAAAAGTGTTAAGTAAAAAATAGATAAGTAAAATAAAAAAATTAAATAAAGATACTCCCTAGATACCCTAGATACTCACAGCTCAGACACACACACGTACCGCAGACACACACACACGTACCGCCAAACAACACCACGTAACACACACGTACCGCAGACACACACACGTACCGCAGACACACACACACGTTACCGCAGACCACACACACACGTACCGCAGACACACACACACGTACCGCAGACACACACACACGTACCGCAGACACACACACACGTACCGCAGACACACACACACGTACCGCAGACACACACACACGTACCGCAGACACACACACGTACCGCAGACACACACACACGTACCGCAGACACACACACACGTACCGCAGACACACACACACGTACCGCAGACACACACACACGTACCGCAGACACACACACACGTACCGCCAGACACCCACACACGTACCGCAGACACACACACGTACCGCAGACACACACACGTACCCGCAGACACACACACGTACCGCCAGAACACACACACGTACCGCAGACACACACACGTACCGCAGACACACACACGTACCGCAGACACACACACGTACCGCAGACACACACACGTACCGCAGACACACACACACGTACCGCAGACACACACACACAGACTTAATGCCATCAGCTAAGCGGGAGTCCGTGATAAAGTCCATTAGATGGCCCACATAAGGGCTTGTGTTTCTGGAACTTTTGTCAGAACATTGCGAACGGAAGACACACTGGCATCCCGTTTATTAACAGTCTTCCTCTCTTTGTCCACATGTTCTAGGACACCCCATGTCCTGTTATGCCGAGAAAATGTGTCTGATCAGATGTTGCAGTGTGTGTGTGTGGGGGGGGGGGGGGGGGGCAACAAGAGCAAGGACAGGCCTGAATAACTGTGGGAATTACAGCACAAAGCGACTACAGCTTGATGTAAACTCCAGCCCATCTACTACGCCAGTTAAAACCATTAGATGTGTGTGTGTGTGTGTGTGTGTGTGTGTGTGTGTGTGCGCGCGCGCGCGCGTGCGTGTGTGCGTGAGATACATAAACACTGGCCTATCTAAGCCTGTAAAGACAATTAGGGGTAATTGTAGTGAATTATATAATTGATAGTTATCAAAGAGGAACCGCTGTGTGTTTGTGTGTGCGCACATTCATTTACTGAACATATCAGGGAGTCCATTTCCTGTTGCTATTAGCTAGAGATAACACTTGCAGTAACTTTCACATAGTTATATAGTTATTTTTATGTAACTATGCTCATAAAGGAACACCCTAAAAGTAATGTAATTGTATTTAAGTAGCCACTAACAAGG